GGACAATCCTTAGACCCTCCTCTCCCTCCCAACGCCAGTGCCCTACTTGCTGTGTGACCCAAGGTCACCTATCTGACCTCTCTGAGCCTCCAGCTTTCTCATCCCAGGCTGCACTTGAGGTTTTCTCTTTTGCCTCCCGGGGTTTCTGTGACCCCTGCATCTAGAAGGGCTCTGCTTTCACTCTTGCTCTCTTTCTCTCTGTCTCGTCTGGTTTGTCTAAAACATGTTCATCAGCCAGTCAGAACTTGTTCTCCTTTGTGTTTGGTAAGCATTTTTTAAATTGCAGCATGATCAACATACAGTGAAATGCACATATTTCAAGTGTCAGTTTGATGGATTTTTAAATTCATTAAGGTATATGTACATCTATGTAACCAGCACTTAAACCAAGATATAGAATGTTTCCATCTCCCCAGAGAGGTCCCTCACACGCTCTTCCAGTTAGTGTCTTCCACCCCTAGGCAAGCACTATTCTAACCTCTATCCCCAGAGGTTAGTTTTGCCTTTTTTTTTTTTTTTTGCTGAGAAAGATTTGCCCTGAGCTAACATCTGGGCCAGTCTTCCTCTGTTTTGTATGTGGGTCGCTGCGGACAAGTGGTTTATATCCACACCTGGAACTGAACCCAGGCCGCGAAACTTAACCACTAGGCCACAGGGCCAGCCCAGTTTTGCCTGTTCTTGATCTTCATATAAATGGAATCATACAGGATGCACCCTTGTGTCTGGTTTCTTTCATCCAACATAATGTCTTGAGATTCGTCCAGATTGTCACAGTATCATTAGTGTGTGTCTTTGTATGAATATGCTACAATTTGTTCGTCCAGTTACCTGTTGATGGATATCTGACTTGTTTCTAGTTTGGAGCCTTTATGAATAAAGCTGTTATGATCATTTTTATACAAATCTTCCAGTATCCTTATGTACTCATTTCTCCCTGGCAGATTGCTTGTATACATAGGTACTCATCTTTCTCAGATAGGTTCGGGTAGGAGTGGAGTTGCTGAGTCAGGATAGATGTATGTTTAACTTTATTAGAAGCTGCCAAATAGTTTTCCAATATAATTATGCTGTGTTACACTCCCCACCACCAGCATATGAGAGTTCCAGTAGCTCCACCTCCCCATCAACACTTAGTATTGTCAGTCTTTTTTGTTTTAACCATTATGATGGGTGTGTAGTGGCATCTTATTGTGGTTTTAGTTTTCATTTCTCTGATAAATAATTACGAGCACATTTTCATATGTATTGGCCCTTTTGTGAAGAGTTAGTTCAAGTGTTTTTGCTTGTTTTTTTACTGTTCATCTTTTCTTGATATGCAGGAGTTCTTTATATATTCTGGATACGTGTCCTCTGTCAGATATATGTTCGATGAATATTTTCTCCTTTTGCCTTTTTATTTTTTTTAATGTTGTCATTTGATGAATTATTCTCCTTTCTGAGTGAAATTTAGCTTGAAAAAAAGAATCCCTTCAGGGCCGGCCCAGTGGCATAGTAGTTAAGTTCGTGTGCTCTACTTCGGTGAGCCGGGGTTCACAGGTTCGGATCCCAGGTGCAGACCCGTATACTGCTCATCAAGTTGTACTGTGGCAGTGTCCCACATATAGAACAGAGGAAGATGGGCACAGGTGTTAGCTCAGGGCCAATCTTCCTCACCCAAAAAAACCCCAAAAAACCTTTTTCCTGGTTATAAAAATAACATTTTTATTGAGGAAAACTTGGAAAATAAAGAGTAAAGGAAATTACAATTACCCATAATCCTACTTAACGGAGATAACTATTGTTAACATTTTGGTGTGTTTCCTGTCTTCTCGTTTAATGTGTATATTTATTTAAGAGTTATTCATTGAGCACCTGCTGTATGCCAGGCTGAGGCTACAGAATGGAACAAGACAAAGTTCCCCTTCTCCTGGAGTTTGTGGTTTAGTGGGGCAACAGCCAATAAACGAGTTAAGAAAGAACTCTAAGTATGAAGAAAAGGAGCGAAGGTGGGTGAGGAGAGGCTGTGATGGCGAGAGGGGCTGATGGGGGTGGTCACGGAAGGCTCTCGGAAGAGGTGACATCTTATTGGACTTATTTTTTTTTAGTTGCAGTTTCATTGTATATACAATTTGATGTCCTTTTTTTCCTCCTTAACTTTATATTGCAAACATTTTCGCATACTGAACATTCTTTGAAAACATGATTTTTAGAACTGTATAATTTTCCATCATACAGATGTGCCAGTGATTTAACCAGTTTGCTATTGCTGAGCATTCTGTAGGAAGCTTCCAGGGTTTGTGTTGCTCCTTTTCTACAAGAGCCCTCCTTAGTTCTTCAGGGCAGGCTCACAGAGTGGACTCAGGAGGGAAGGCTCCCAGCAGCTGTGGCCGTGGCTTCTTGTGGGTCCTCTGGCTCCATCTTGGGTGCTCCAGCTTGGCCTTCTCAGCCCTGAAGTTCTCCTTCCAGGCCCCACTCCTCTTTTCACCTCTGAGGGTCGCTACCAACAAGGCAGAGGGCCTTAAAGATTTCTCTGCGGCTGGGCCCAGGCAGCTGGTGAGCTCTGACAGGCACCTCATCCATCCTCGGAGGCTTCCCAGGCCTGCAAATGGGGAGTAGATGGGGCTCACCGTCCTGAGGCCTCCTCCTGCCCCACCCTCCGGCAGATGCCATCTAATTATCCCCTGGCCTGGGTGGCAGTGCCCTACCAGGCACACCTGGGTGTGGTGATGACTCACCAGCCAGAGAGTGATTCAGGCTTCATCTTATCATGGTTTATAGCAGTTACAGCAGTCCCATCCCCCACCCCTGAGTTGAGTCTGCAGTGTGGGCAGGAAGCTGGTTCACTATCCTCAGCTCAGAAGAGAGAGTATGGAGAAGCCAGAGGCCTGCCAGAGGGTTTCCACTTGTCCCTGCTCCTGGCTGAGCCGGGCATCTGCCTGCAGCAGGACTATTTGTCCTTGTGGCTTCTGGAGGGACACCCTTCCCATGGCAGTGGCAAAGGGCTCCCCATCTCTGGGATTTGGGCAAGTTACTCAACAGCCTCAGCTTCTTCCACTAAAGTGGAGGTGATGATAACTCTTGCTTCGTGGGGTTCAGTCACGTTCCCAGCACGTGGCCAGTGAGTATCCACAGTTGCAAGCCCCTGGGATACAGAGGTAAACCAGAGAGCAGGACCTGCATTGTAGTGCCCAGTGACGGGGACAGACAGCAAGTACAGAAGGTAGTCAACAGGATGACCCCAGGTTGTGCTAAGGGCTCCACTGGGGTGAACAGGTGCTGAGCTAGAGATTGGTAGGGAAGGCCTCTGAGTGTCCCGTAGGGAGGGACCACCCTGCCAGAGGGCCTTACGTCCCTCTCCTGCAGCTCATCTTCCTCATGACTGCAGGAATACCACTCAGCCCCTTCCCTCCCTCACATCTGCCCGGTCTGGGAGCCGCAGCCCGGATCCCACAGCTGCAGAGGTCTGAGGTGGGCAGAGTTTCAGGGAGCCATCCTGTCCAGCCCCTCACCCTCTGCAGTTCAACCCTTTCCCCTGCTCACTGCTTTAAAACCCTTCCAACAAATATTTGTGGAGCGCCCCTTGTGCCAGGGCACCGAGGGCGTGTGGGACTAAGACAACCGAGGTCTTGACCTCAGGCATGTACCTTCTCGTGGGGCTCAGTGGGCAGTGAGCAAGCAAACAAATCCGCGAAGATGATTTCTCAGAGTTGTAGGCAGATGAAGAAAATGACATAGGTGATGGGGGAAGTGCCTGGATGTGGCAGGAGCAGCTGGTGGGGAACTCCAGGGAAACCTCACTGACGAGGGAGCCGTGGGGGGCTGGTGACCAGCAAGAGGGTGGCAGCATGTGAAGATCTAGGGCCAAAAGGTCCCAGGGGCGGCCCGAGGTTGGTGACTGCTGTGAGTGACAGGGAGAAGGAGAAGGAGCAGACTGGGTGGTGCAGGGCCGTGGCGGCCATGGAGGGGAGGTTAGGTGTTATTCCAGATGCAGTGGGAAGCCCCTGGAGGCCACGTGGGTAAAACCTGTGAAAACATTTCCACAGCAGGACTCAGACTGACCCAGGCACTGCTAGGGAGAGGGCAGCAGTGCCAAAGCTGGGCAGATTCCTGCCCCTGGAGGAGAAGGCGGAGTGTCCCTGGCAGGGGCCTCCCGGGCACCTGTCCTTTCTTGCTGAGGAAGGTGTCCTAGTCGGGATGGAGTCTGGGGGAAGCCCTCTTTTCTTTGCTTGTTTCTAGAGAAGTGGGAACCTGGTTGGGCTGTGACTAACTCCTGATTGGACACTCAGGACTGGTCAGCCATGTTGTGCAAATGAGTTGGAAGCCCCTCCTCTGCATGGAGCAGGAACCTAAGGGTGGGGGTGCCACGCTGGCAGGAAGCTCAATCAGGACACACAGGAAGTCGGCTTCCCGCATAGAGGGCTCGGAGGCCTGGCGTGCGAGAATGGGGGCTCTGGCCGCAATACCCAAGCAGTGGGGTTTTTGATCCAGAACCAAGGGCCTCTCACTTTGGCCCTTTTTTGGTCCCCCAGAATCCTAGTAACAGTCATGTAAAAATGACACTAAAATGCTCTAACCTCTTAATAAGTTATACTGTATCCATAAAATGGTGTACTGTGTAGCCATTAAATGATACCATGATTTTAGATTTATTAGTATGGAAAGATGTTACAATACATTGTCAAATGAAAAAAGCTGGCTTACAAAACAGTAAGGGAAAGTATCGCGTATTTATTAAATATTTATATGTGTTCACATATTTAAAAATTGTGGACTGAAAAGCAAATGTTAAATGTCTAGGTGGTAGGATTAAATGGTTTATATTTTGGCTTCTTTCTAATATTTTTAACAGCTTTATTGAGGTAATTGACAAAAATAAACTGTACATATTTAAAGGGTACAGTTTGATAAGTTTTGACATATGTATACACCAGTGAAACCATCACCTTACCTATATTTTTAAATTCTTCTAAAGTGATGATATACTGTGAGTTTTGTTTTTATTTATTTTTTACTTTAAAAAGAGGAAAGCGTATCAACCATTGAACTGGCTGAACCAAGAGGGAAAGGGATTAGTGACCCCTTCCAGAAGGCTCGGCTGCGGCAGGCAGGAAAGCCTTTCTGGAACCTTGAAGGGGAGGGCTGGAGACCAGAATGGACTTTGGATCTCTTGTCCCTGGGCCACCTCTCACAGGCCTGGGCCCTTCCCTGGGACTCAGTGAGCAGACAGGAGCTGGGAGGAGGCCCGGGACTGAGGCCTCCAAACTCACCTTGCTCTTCTCCAGGAGGCCTCTGCAACCTGTGCTCAGACAAGGCCAACAAGGAACACATCCTGCAGACAGGGGGCGTCCCGCTCATCATCAACTGCCTGTCCAGTCCCAACGAGGAGACTGTGCTATCTGCTGTCACCACGATCATGTACCTGAGCTCGCCAGGCTCTGGCTCCCACCCCGAGCTGACCGCCATGCCCGTGGTCCAGTGCATGCTGCGCTTCTCTCTCTCGGCCAACACGAGGCTCCGGAACCTGGCCCAGATCTTCTTGGAAGACTTCTGTTCCCCAAGCCAGGTGGCTGAAGCCCGCAGCTGGCGGGCTCACTCTGCCTTGGGTATCCCCCTGCCAAAGACTGAGGCCCCACAGCAGCCCTGATCCAAGGAGACCTCGGGCCATGGCACCCTTAACTGCCAGAGACAAGACTAAATCCTCAGAGGGCTCGGGAAGCAGGAGCAGCACAGCTCCCACTGAGCACATCCTCCCCAAATGGTGCCTTTTCGGCCATTGTAAAGGTGAGTTTCCTCAGCGTGACAGGTATTTACACTGATGAAAGGCGTTAGGAGATGAGTGAAGAAGCCAGACTTCTAGACACACGGAGAAGGAAATCAAAGCTGGTGCCACTGTCACAGGCTGCCGCTCTGAACCAACTGGAGGCGAAGGTCCTGCCTCCCAGCCCACCCCACTGCCAGGCTCGCACCCTCGCGTAAGAAGCAACCGGTCCCTAGATCCAGAGACTTTGCAGAAGGCTCTTCCCCTGAGGAACAGCTGGGCCTGGGGCTCGGGAGAGCTGCCTGAGCTGGAGGCTTTGAGGACTAGGCTCACCGCTCAACAGAATTGTCTGGAGTGCTCTGGAGGAATAGAAATGAGAAGTTGTTAAAAGTATCTCGGGGCTCTGGGAAGGTGTCGTGCCCACTCCAGGGCTCTGAAGCCTGGGTACTGCCCGACAAGCTGTCCAGGCCAGGCACCGGGCGTGGTGGGCACCAGCCTAGAGAACGCTATGGCCCAGGACTAACTGTTTATTCACACAGGCCTGTCTGCCAGGCACCACGTTAGGGCTTCAAAGACGAAGATGTGGTCCCTGCTCTTGAGTGACGCAGCCCAGTGACTGTTAACATGGCCGTCAGGCATTAAGCCCAAGCCATGAGGGTGCTGACATATCAGAACACAGGCACAAATCCACGGAGCTGTGTCCTCTTCCCTCAGTACCCCAAGGTCCCCACCTGAAAGCCCTGGCCCTCCTCCTCCGCCATCACGGTTAGTGGCAGGGAGTCCCTGTCTCAGGCTCAGGAGGGCTTCAGGGACGCAAGGAAGAGCGGCGCTCAAGGGGAGGACCAGGTACTGACACACAGTGTGTGCTCGGATTCACAGTGTGCGCTGCTCAGCGCGGGAAGGGGTGTGCGACTCCCATGGGAAGTGGAGCTTTAGGAGCAGTGGAGGGTCCTGGTCTCCCTTCTGTACTCCCTTAAGGTTGACCTCTTACATGCCCAAGGAAAGGCAGAGGCAGAGGGATAGTGTCCAGGTGGACGCGGAGGTGGGGCAGATTATGGGACTGATGGATAAGGGGAAGCGGGAGGGAGGGCGGGCCTCCTCAGCCTCTATTCCAACTGCCTCCCTGGGGGCCCTGCCCCTTGACTTTCCCAAATAAAGGACCTTAAAAGAGTAGAGAGCCAAAGTGTTTTATTAAAAAGGTTCCTGACTGACTTCCACCATGCTTCCATGCCAGCCATCTCAGGAGGGTCTAGGTGGCTGGCCTGTGAGAGCACAGAGGTTACCGTGTCTCCCTGCTCCACAGTGCTGGGGGTCACCACCAGGATGCCGCCCTGTCACTTGGCTCTGTTGGGTTTCCCTGCTGGCTTGCCTTCCTTTCCTTCAGCTACTGTCCGCTGCTATGGTCCCTCGATTATTCCTGCAGCAGCCCCAGGCCTGTTTGGTCCTGCTGCACAGCTGCCCGCTTGCTGTCTATGATCTCCCTCCAGTCGTCACTCCAGGAGAGCAGCCGTCTCCTTGTAGGGGGCAGGACCAGGTGCTGGTTGTGGCAGCAGGTGAACAAGATGTGCTCCCAGCTTGGGGTCTCCTCTTGGCCTGGGACAGGACAGAGGAGAAAGGCGGTGAGCATGCAGTCTGTACCCTGGTTATTTTTACTCCCTCTCTGTAATCCCAGCAGGCCAGGTGCCTGGAGGTTGCCAAGGAAAATGACTCCAACCTTGAATGGTGTCCTTGTCATCAATGAGCAGGTCCCCCAAGATCACTGTCTTGTCCCTCGTCAGGATAATGCGCTCCACAAACTGGGGCCCCAGGTGCTTCTCCACCCAGCAGTACTGTGTAGGGGGCACAGGTCTGTCAGTAGGGCCTGAAGGGCCCTTGAATTCAGGGCCGGTGAGCAAGCAGGTGTGCGGAGGGTCTACAGCCCTTGACAGATGCTGCTCCCCTCCTCCCCACACAGCACTTTCTCTGTTTCTGGGGGTCTCTTTAAAAATCAGGACTTAGAGGGCTGGCCCCATGGCTGAGTGATTGGGTTCCTGCGCTCCGCTTCAGCGGCCCAGGGTTTCGCTGGTTCGAATCCTGGGCATGGACATGGTGCTGCTCATCAGGCCATGCTGAGGCAGTGTCCCACATGCTACAACTAGAAGGACCCACAACTAAAATATACTACTATGTAGCAGGGGGCTTTGGGGAGAAAAAGGAAAAATAAAATCTTTAAAAAAAAAAATTTCAGGCCTTAGGAAGCTAAGTTTGCCCATGAGGTACGGGGGCAGCCGAACCTTCTCGTACACACTGTAGTCATACTTCTCCGGAGGGCTGGTGCAGATGAAGACCTCGGTGCTGCAGGGAAGGGGAGTCAGTCAGGGTGATGCCAGGCCTTGCTCCCCACCGCCCTCCCTCCCCAGCGTTCCTCACTCCTGCATGTCGTTCATCTCCCGCATGGCCTCCAAGGCTCCAGGGATGGGCTCCAAGTCGAGGAAAAAGCCTGGGGCTTCGAACACACTGACCACTTTCTCCTGAAAGATACAGTGTTCTGTCCAGGCTTCTGTCTCCAGCCCGTCTAGCCCCAGCCGGGACCGGAAACGTAAGGTTCCTGGGGGCCTTCGGTGCCCAGAGCAGAGCTTCAGGGCGAGGATTCTGTTTAGGGGGAAGCACTCTCCCAAACCTTCTTGTCCTGGGGATTCTGAAGGGAGAGTTTTGTTAATTTTAAACAGAAAGTGGTGTCTCCGGAAATGGAGCAGAGGCAGTCCTCCCCAAGGGGGAGGCTTCCCCCTCCTGGGCTCCCCGCTCCCAGGGCGGCCCCGCGCTGCGCCCCGCCCCGTCCTACCTCCAGGTCGGGCCGCAGGGCGCGGTACTGCTCGCTGGCGAGGGAGCCGCGGCGCTCGTCCAGCGGCACGTGCGGCTCCCCGGGGAAGCGGCGGCGGAAGCCCCGCAGAAGGCCGGCCTCGAAGTCCGCCAGCACGCCGTCCATGTCCACCAGCACCCGCACGGGCCGCCCGCGCCGCGCCGCCGCCGCCACTGCCATCGCCGCGGGGTCCGGGCGCGGAGGGCCGGCCGGAGGCGCGGAAAGCTCGAACCGCCGCTTCCGGAGCCGCGGCGCGGGCGGGGCGCGCCAGGCTGATCTGCGCGGGCGCCGGGCAGCGCGAGGCCTTCCCCGGGACTCGGCGTGCGCGCGGCCGCCTCCCCCTCTCCCCGAGTGCTGGGGCTCACCTTCCAGGGGCCCGACGGAGGGCCGATCCGAAATACTGGGAAGCGTCAAGCCTCCTTAAACCTGTGCGGTTCGCTCCACCTCCTTAGAACCCGTACCTGGCGTCCTTGGGGGACCGGCGGTTCTGCCCTCCCTGCTTGTGGGCCCCGGACCCCGGACCGGAGCTCCCGCCGCGCGAAGGCAGCACCAGCCCAAGGCCCGAATCGTGCGGGCTCCCGGTCACTGGTTCGTGTGAGTCAAGCTCCTGAGAGACGATTTCATAAGCCAGGGTTGGCATGAAACATGGGAGCATCTACTTTTTTGGGGGGGGGGGGTGAAGATTAGCCCTGAGCTAACTGCTGCCAATTTTCCTCTTTTTGCTGAGGAAGACTGGCCCTGAGCTAACATCCGTGCCCATCTTCCTCTACTTTATACGTGGGATGCCTACCACAGCATGGCTTTACCAAGTGGCGCCATGTCCGCACCCGAGATCTGAACCAGCGAACCCTGGGCTGCTGAAGCTGAACGTGAGAACTTAACTGCTGCCCCACTGGGCCGGCCCCTAAAGGGAGCATCTACCTTAAACATCCAGTTCCTCCTGGAGGAGACGACTGTCCTTTTGTGAAACCGACACTCTTCTCTAGAATCGGCAGTCATGTGCCCTTCTGGAAAATGCTGAACATTGCTGTTTTGTCGATTCCCCTTTTTGTAGGTTTCACACAATTTCCTGACTACACTCAAGATATATTTACCTACAACTGTAAACTCAGGTTTAAGTGACTTATGTTCCTGCAGTTCACCTGAACACCCCAGTACTTCCAAACCAATGCAACGGAAGAGCTGCAAAGGGGGCCTGGTGTGTCTAAGGTGATGGAATTGCAAAATGCTTAAGAAAAGAGGTAGCATCAGCATCAGCAATAAATACCGAGTCACTAAGTCACACAAACTGGCTAAAAGGTCCAAAATGTCAATGAAATGCTGATTCCTCCGCTCTTTGGGTGTCTTTTATTTGGTGTTTTTTTTTTTTTGAGGAAGATTAGCCCTGAGCTATCTGCTGCCAATCCTCCTCTTTTTGCTGAGGAAGACTGGCCTTGAGCTAACGTCCGTGCCCATCTTCCTTTACTTTATATGTGGGACACCTACCACAGCATGGCTTGCCAAGCGGTGCCATGTCCACACCTGGGATCCAAAGCAGCGAACCCCGGGCCACCGAAGCGGAACGAGGGCACTTAACCGCTGCTCCACCGGGCCGGCCCCTTCATTTACAATTTTGATATCCTGGTGTCTTAATAGTAATCATTGTCATCATCATTTTAGGATCATTCAGCTTCATTTTCTAGACCCTAAGCCTTCCAATTCTGGAAAATCGAACACCCTCAACAAACATGTGTCCATAGAATTTCCTAACTCTGTGCTGGTAGTACCAAAATGACTGGCAGGACTGTCCGTCCCTCAGGACACCTTAATTTTCCTGAGGCACTTATCTTCACAGAATAAAAAAAGCCAAATTACAAGTTATGACACACATCAGGGACATCTCTTCCAGGAGCCCCACCATTCCTAAGAGAGAAGGGTGCAGGTTCCCCACCTCTGAAGAGTCAGAGGCACAACAGAAACGGTGGCCTGAGGAGACTGGAAGGCTCCTGGAGCACAGCTGTTGAGTCTCCACTGTGTGAATGCTTTATACCATGAGGGGAGAAAGACTTAACCCCCCCCCCCCAGGCCCCGCGCCGCAACCTGTAACTAGCCATCTTCCTCCCCCAAAGACGTCCAGGAGTTCAAGTGAGTTCGTGGTTACAGGTTCTGCTCTTCAGTCATTTCAGTCATGGGAGGGGCTTTAGAGTTGACCTAGTTCAAAGGTATCATTTCTGAATTTGGAAATTGTGCCCCAAATGAGAAACCGAAGGAATACAGCTGGTCAGTAGCACAGCTAGATCCACTTTGGATATTTAATATAGCATGTTGATCTGGAACTTTCTGCCTAGAACCCAGAGAGCTTTCTCCTGTCTTCTGTCTTCTCTATCACTTGAAGAGACTCAGATCTCCCCGCCCCCTAGTTACACAAGACTTCCTTCCTCTGAGCCCTCTGTGACCCCTCACCATTGGGAAGCACCTTGCAGGCGTGAGGGGACCTAAAGTTTTAAATGTCACGGCCCAGCACAGGTGGTAAAATTTAAAATATATTGGCTAATAACTATTTTGAACATCAATTATTCATATTATTCATGTGTTTTATTACCCCAGATAGCAGAGATAATGATCATTTTAGCACTTTGAACTCATGCTATGACTTTAAACCTGTTTTGTTTAGAGAATTTTCTTTAGAGAGAAGCCCACTTCTCTCTGGGCCTCCATTAGCCAGTTTTAACTTTAATGACTCATCAAATCACTGCGCAGCAGAATTGACATTAACAAAGAAAAAAGCTAAACCAGTAGACCAATCTGAAACAATCTCAAAAAGATGACACAGGACACAATGTTTCAAAATTTGTACATTGTTTACTTTTAAGCAACAGTCCAGGATTGTGAAGTACAACACAGATTTTAAGGATGAGAGTTTCATTTCATGGTCAAGCACCAGCATCATGCACACAGCTTCGAGTTATCTACGAAGAGCACTGCCCCGAGGGGTCGTTCATGACGAAGACCCACTGTGTGGCCACGCCCTTGCTTGCTTCACCACTTGAAATCCGTCAGTTCGAGGGCACCCGGAACCCCTCCTCTGCCTGAGAGCAGCAGGCTCGATGCTCATCAGCCAGGCAAGTTAGTATCTGGCTTATTTCTTAAGGTTCCAAAACAAAAGGCAGTTTTTCGCTTTGCAGGCAGCAAGGCAGGAGGCACAGGCCTCTTTATTGTTCCATATGGCACAGGAAGATGCTTTTAGCAAAGGGCACTGACAAGTTACGGCAACACCAAGGAGGTTCGGCATAAAGACATCCTTGTTTGGGGGCCTGAAGGGACGGTGCCTGGGGACTGTTCACTGGTCTGTCCAATCAAGGCTTGGTAAACCCAAGTAAAGCTGACAAGAAAAGGGTTTTAAAAACCTCAGTACAAAAGATCCTCTAACACATTTGGAATCAAATTATTCTTAAAAACACGGTACTAAGTGTCACAGAGTTTTCCCTCCAATCTACTACTAGAAAACACTCATGCCATGGCCTACAGACCCAGAGGAATCAGGACAGATAAGAGAACCTGTTCTTCAAAAAGGGGAAAAAAAAAAAAAAAAAAAAAGACAGCAGTACATAAAGTGCTTCTTTTTTAATGAAACAAATCCAAAAGATGTACAGTCAGGCTCAAGTTGTGCAGTTCACAAGCATGGAGAAAACAAATAAAACAACAGAGTTCAGGACAGTCGGAGCTAACCCAGGACAAGGCTAGACTTGCCACCAGGGGGGTTTCTTCGGGATGGCACTGGGGCAGGTGCCACCGGGCTGGGCACAGGGGCAGCAGGCACGGGCTTCTCCTCACTCTGCCCCAGGCTGCCCTGCAAGTCTGTGTCCAGGTTTTCTAGGAAAACAAGGAAATTAAGGCTAATAACTATTTCAAGTTAAGATGAACAGTCTAAGGTTTTTTTAAAAGCTGTTCCTTAATTAATTGCTTTGTAATATTTTTATCACATGATATAGTATATTTGATGTAATATAGTACTATATTTGCTCTACTGATACCAAAAAATTGGAACCAACCGAACCATTCCAAAGCTGTAATGCATCCACACTGGAGCGTGTGCCCATGGGGCCACGGGGCCACCATCTTCAGTTTGAACAGACACTACACGCCCCCCCCCCCCCCCAGAAGATGTGCCCATCTCTACCCCACACCTGCGTCAGGGTCTGTCTCCTTACATTTTGCACATCCACCATTTGATAACCACCTCACTTTAAAATTTGCCAAACCGATGGGTGAAAAAAAATGTTCTTTCTTTCCTGTTTGATGTTAGGCTACATTTCCATGATTACTAGGTGAGGCTGATTTATTTTTTAACCACACAGATAGCCAACTGTACTGTGGAAATTCAAAGAAACCTTAACTAAATTGGAGCTGGAAGGCCTGTAGGAGGAGCTCTCAGGGCCTAACACACAGGGTCAATTACACCAAACAGGAAGACAGGGATGTTGACATCTCCAACAGAAAGTAAAACCACTTTACTACTGAAGTAAGCTTTCTCTCCCCACCCAGCAACAGCCCAGCCAAGGAGAAACGCCTCGAAGCCCAGCCAATGCCAAGACGCTGCCACCCTGAACTTCCCCGCAATGGGCTTTCCTTTAGCACAGCTCCCCTACTCTGCCTTTTCCTCTATAAAAGCAGCTCCTCTCCTCGGTTTGCTAGATTTGCCTAAGGTTTGCCATAGCACGCACATCCAAAATTGCAATTCTTCTGGCTATTCCTGAATACACTCATCTTGAAGATAAAATAACAGGCAAATTTGCTTTTTAAGTTGACAGTACTGACACCATTTATCTTTTGCTGAGCAAGGTTAACCCTGAGCTGACATCTTTGTCAATCTTCCTCCACCTTCTATGGGTGTTGCCACCACACCGCGGCTAATGAGTGGTGTAGGTCAGCGCCTGGGATCCAAAGCAGCAAACCCAGGGCCGGCCCGGTGGCGCAGCGGTTAAGTGCACACGTTCCACTTCTCGGCGGCCCGGGGTTCGCCTGTTCGGATCCCAGGTGCAGACATGGCACCACTTGGCAAAAGCCATGCTGTGGTAGGCATCCCACATATAAAGTAGAGGAAGATGGGCATGGATGTTAGCTCAGAGCCAGTCTTCCTCGGCAAAAACAGGAGGATTGGCAGTAGTTAGCTCAGGGCTAATCTTCCTCAAAAAAAACAAAAAACAAAAAAACAAAAAACAAATCAGCAAACCCGGGCCTTGGAAACCAAACATGCTGAACTTAAAACTACGCCACGGGGCTGACCCCCTGATGTGATTTATTAGAGTCTATCTTTCCCCTACTGATTTGTAATAACAGCTCCATTAATGAGGTAAGTCCCATTTGTATTAACTGGGCACCTTCCATGTTAAGGTTTAAGAATTAGCATCTTATTATCCAATATACTAGATATTGCTTGATGGATTTACTGACTGATTTGTGAAATTCCCAACAAGCATATATTCTTAACCAGGTAGTTTCCAAACTTGGAAAAGTTATTGATTCAAATTCAAGAGTGACTGCAACAGAAAAAGCTGTATTTCCTGTGAAAGGAAATTTCTATGAAGAGTTTAATAGTTGAAGGAAGGTTAGACATTTAAAATTTTTTTTTTTTAAGGCCAGGCCTCATTTCAGTGTTAAGCCATCAAATTAAATTCAGTTGCATATTCTAACATGTCCCTTAGAATAATCTCTCCCTCTCTCTCACACACACACACGTACACACACACACACGCACACACACACAAGCACCTTTAGTATAGAAACTAAGTACTAATTCATAAGACTTGGGAGAAAAACTACCTTAAAGTTTAAAGATATTTATTTCCTCCCCTAGTTTAGAAATTCCAAAACCTGAAAGCAGCACAGCAGAAATGCTGATTCTGGGGCCAGCCTGGGAGTGTAACAGTTAAGTTGGCACCCTCCGCTTTGGTGGCCTGGGGTTCGCCAGTTCAGATCCTAGGCAGAGACCTAGGCACTGCTTATCAAGCCATGCTGTGGCAGGCGTCCCACGTATAAAGTAAAAGGAGATGGGCACGGATGTTAGCTCAGGGCCAGTCTTCCTCAGCAAAAAGAGGAGGATTGGCAGCAGATGTTAGCTCAGTACTAATCTCCCTCAAAAAAAAAGAAAAAAAAAAAGAAATGTTGGCTATGATATATACTATGTAAAAACTTCATATGGACTCATACTGGACACCAATGAAAAGTTCTAATTTCAAAAAATGTACTTTCTTTAAGATCCTCAAAGACTAAACATTAAAAATTCACATTCCTGGGGCTGGCTCAGCAGTGCAGTGGTTAAGTTCATGTGCTCCACTTCGGTGGCCCAGGGCTCACCAGTTCAGATCCTGGGCGCAGACCTACACACCGCTGATCAAGCCATGCTGTGGCAGCATCTCACATAGAAAAACTAGAAGGACCTACAACTAGGATATACAACTATGTACTGGGGCTTTGGGGAGAAAAAAAGGAAGGAAGATTGGCCACAGATGTTAGCTCAGGGCCAATCTTCCTCACCAAAAAAAAGGGGGGCGGGGGCCAACCTGTGCATTCAATCACATTTTGAAGAAAAAAAAAATTCATGTTCCTAAAACCACTTGTACCAAGTTTTGTTTTGTTTTGTTTTGTTTTTGAGGAAGATTAGCCCTGAGCTAACATCTGCTGCCAATCCTCCTCTTTTTGCTGAGGAAGACTGGCCCTGAGCTAACATCCATGCCCATGTTCCTCAACTTTATATGTGGGATGCCTGCCACAGCATGGCTTTTGCCAAGCGGTGCCATGCCCACACCGGGGATCCGAACCGGTGAACCCTGGGCTGCCGAAGTGGAACATTCGAGCTTAACCACTGCCCCATCGGCCTGGCCCCAACAGAGAAAGCTTTTGTCTTTTGAATGTAATAATTAAAAAATGGAGCTTTAAACAAAAACAATTCTGGGGCCGGCTTGGTGGCACAGTGGTTAAGTTTGCACGTTCCACTTCAGTGGCCCAGAGTTTGGATCCCAGGTTCAGACATGGCACCACTTGTCAAGCCGTGCTGTGGCAGGGGTCTCAAATATAAAGTGGAGCACGATGGGCATGGATGTTAGCTCGGGGCCAGTCTTCCTCAGCAAAAAGAGGAGGATTGGCAGCAGATGTTAGCTCAGGGCTAATCTTCCTCAAACAAAACAAAACAAAGCAAAGCAAAAAAACAAAAACACTTCTACCATAATGTACATCTTATATACTCCTGACTTGTCTTCCCTCTTTGGTGCATCAAAGAGGTAACTGAACAGACACCTATGTCAGAATAGGAAAATAGGATTCATTATAAGGATCAAAGAATTAGAACCACCAGAAAATGTAGCAGACCATCTAACCTGCCTGAAGGGAGGGGAAGTTCTGCCGAAACTTCCTAGACCTTCTCCCTCTTTCTGAAAGACTTCCAAAGTCCTCCCTGTAGCCATTCCTGTGTTTAATTATCCAAAAGATAAAGGCAATCTTCCTTACATCCAAACAAAATCTGTTTTATTTAAACTGAGAGGGTTGGGGCTGGCCCCGTGGCCGAGTGGTTAAGTTGGCGCGCTCCGCTTTGGCGGCCCAGGGTTTCGCTGGTTCGGATCCTGGGTGTAGACGTGGCGCCACTTGTCAAGCCACACTGAGGCGGCATCCCACATGCCACAACTAGAAGGACCCATAACTAAAAGAACATGCACAACTATGTAGCAGGGGGCTTTGGGGAGAAAAAGGAAAAATAATATCTTTAAAAAAAATAAAAATAAGTAAATAAATAAACTGAGAGGGTAGCTTTGCTTTGAAGTAAACTTGCCAACAGAGTTGAGGCTGACCTCTACTCCGCCAGATGCATCCTGAATTATTATGCCCCTCGTCATTTTATGACAAGTGAACTAAAAGCAGCAGCAGTCAGGGGCACAAAAAACTCAGGTGGCAAAACTGATGACCATTAAAAAAAAAAAGAGGGGCTGGCCCAGTGGGATAGTGGTTAAGTTTGTGGGCTCTGCTTCGGCAGCCCAGGGTTCACAGGTTCAGATCCCGGGTGCAGACCTGCACACCACTCATCCAGCCATGCTGAGGTGGCGTCCCACATACAAAGTAGAGGAGGATTGGCACAGATGTTAGCTCAGGGCCAATCTTCCTCACCAAGAAAGAAAGACCAAAAGAAAGGAAGGACTTTTCATACTATACAATTCAACCTGTTATTTACATGAAGAATCTATAACAAACTGAGCTGGGCTGGGGGTGGGGATTATTAGTTATTAGCAGGACAAATGACATATTTTTTCACAACTTCATCAGGTCTCTCACATACTTCTCCAGGCTCCCCAAATTTCTAATTATATCCATTAGCCAAAATTCGTGTATAAGATTAGCCCATCAATTGGGGCTGGCCCCGTGGCCAAGTGGTTAAGTTTGCGCATTCCGCCGCAGCAGCCCAGGGTTCGGATCCTGGGCTCGGACATGGCACCGCTCGTCAGGCCACGTTGAGGTAGTGTCCCATATGCCACAACTAGAAGGACCTGCAACTAAGATATACAACTATGTACCAGGGGGGATTAAGGAAGATAAAGCAGGGGAAAAAAAAAAAATAGATTAGCCCATTAAGACACAGTGTTGGAGGGGCCGGTCCCGTGGCCGAGTGGTTAAGCTCATGCACTCCACTTTGGCGGCCCAGGGTTTCACCAGTTCGAATCCTGGGTGCAGACATGGCACCGCTCATCAAGCCATACTGAGACGGCATCCCATGTGCCACAAGTGCAAGGACCCACAACTAAAAAAATACACAACTATGTACCAGGGGCCTTTGGGAGAAAAAGAAAAAAAAGACAGCGTTGGAGAGGACAGAGGGGAATGTGGTTCTTAAACACTTCTGTTTCACTGGAAGACCACATCACGGCAGGAAGAGGCCATGAGGAAGCGCTTCTTCCTTCTGGACCGGAGGGCCCTCTGACGGCTGCATTTCACCGAGTCAACTCTAACCTGATCACTACCGCCTGACACTTGTAAACCTTTCATTATTCTCATCAGCCATTCTCCGGCACTGGTTAAAGAAGTGCCAATAAACACTTCAAAGATTTGAAATAATTAAATAAATGATTATAGCGCATTTCCACATATAATTGGTAATATGGATGCTAACTGAAACTTTCCATCTGCCCCCTCCATCATCATTCACAAGATCACAGGGTTAACCGATGTCTTGCCAAATAAGCACCTTGGTATAAAATCAAACAAGTTATGTAAATTAAATGCTGTGGGCTGAGCTTGAAATGCCAGAGCCTTTTACTAAAAAAAAAACTCTCATTCAGTGTAACAAATACCAACCTGACTAATGTACATATATTTTGTAAAGGATTCGCCAGTATTCTTCCTTTCTTGTACATTTCTGGCAGTGCTCTCACCATTGGCCAATACCAAACATGGCCACATTTGCTAACTTTCCAGTTTCATTTTTCTTTCCTCTCCACCCAGAGTATGCTGGCACTCAGGGCAAAGACAGGTTTCACTCCGCAGTCTTCTTTCCCCAAGACACAATTAGAATCGAAATTCTGATCTATTCTAAAACCATTTACAGAACAAGAAATTTTGGGACTTCTTCAGAAGTACTCACCATGGATGTCACCTTCTCCCTGAAAAAGAAAAAAAAATTAACAGGTTACTTTAGATTTTAATTTGGCAACACACAAAACAGCCACAGTTCAGAGAGACTATCTATTTGAAACCAAATGTGCAATTTCATTTCGACGCAGTCAAGTACAGGTAAGGCTGCATTACAACAAGCAACTGTTATTCAACCTGGGACAATGTGATACAAAAATGCTGCTGACAAATTGCCCCAGTGCCAGTAATACACTCAAAGCACCAAAAAACCTTAACATTTACGCTGATGACCTAATATCAATGAGCATGTCAGAGGCTCTTTTATCTGAATAGGAAACTGGCAAATTTATCCTTCCGTTCTCCGTCTCCCTTCCCCTTATCTAGCCGTTGAAGGGCCCCTATCAGTTCCAAACCCCTTCTACAGGTCGCCCTCCTCACACGGCAATGCCACCATGAGCTCTGAGGTCCCTACTCAAGAGGACACCCTACCAGGCTTTCCAGACACGCACCTGGGGCTTTGGGGCCGTGCTCATCTGTCGATAACTGATGGCAGTGCCCATGTGCTGCAGTCTCCTGGAGTTCAGCTCAAAACAACCAGGCAACACTTGCCAACAACTAAAACAGTCCTTGAACTCAGAAATGCTACTGGACATGAGTTACACAGGAAGTGCGTGTGATCCAGATGTTCCAAAATCAGTACCACAGGCTACAGTCTAATGCTCATGGGAGAAGAGAGATGAACAGACCAAGGTCATGTGAACTCGCTTTTCTGACTACTCTATTTATCAATCCCCCCTGACCAGTAGGGCCCATGCCCTTTCCTAATCCCCTCTATGTAAGACTCCAGTGGCAGAACTGGAGCTCTTTGTACAATAGGGGGCATTTAATTTCTAAACTGTTAACCTCAGTCTTTTCCCAGACGTTGTCGTTGGCACACTGACCTTCAGATCTAAGAAGTCTCCAGAGTTTGCTTCAGAAGAGTTCCTTCTCTGCGGTCCAGATGACTCAGAATCTTCTCTGCCACCACTAGATTTGGCACCTGAATCAAAATATACTTTCTTGAGGAATACAACAGAAAGACCTAAAGCAAAATGCTTTTTTAGTAAGTGGCATTACGTGTTAGTCTCCTATGATAAAATGAAGAAAGAGTGTTAGGGAGGTTAAGCCATGGCTTAAAAATTCTACGGAAGGACAAAATAACCCAGTCTCACGTCAGTCCTTATTCTGATCCAGCAGAGACTCTCAGCACGTCCCATTCCTCAGTCCCAGTCCTTCCTCCAGTGACAAGCTTTCACTATTGTTTATCTTATTATGATTAAGCTAGATTTTGCTCATCAGCAGAAAACCAGCGTGGTTGCCCACGCTGGGTCCGTCCCTTCCTGTGATCAGTGACCACAGAGATAAGCCATACCTGCTGACTTGGCCCACGAAGGGGGATTTTCCTCAGGTGTTCCAAAGATGCTAGAGGCCATTTTGTTCCTCCTCACCGGTTGCTCTGTTGGTTCATCAAAGCCTAATGAAAAATTGGATCCGCCACCTGGAGGTCGCAAAACCCTAGGAACAATAGCAAACCCTCAACTTCAGATCATACCAAAACATTTCTTGGCATAAAGATCATCCATCACACAAGGTAGCTGAAAGTCCTCACAAATAACAGCCTCGTTAGCGTCCCCTTTTAGGAAATGGCAAAAGACCTCAGGGGCATTGCCTGCTGGGCTTAGCTGGATATACCTGCAAAGAAGTTTAGAAGCAGCTCTTGTCATTTATTCAAAAGCATTTCCATTTTTATTTTCAACAAAATAAAAAATGGAAGAATAGACACAGAGAAGTTAAGTTGACCAATTTAGAAGCCCGAGGAAAGCTGATAATAAAGAGTCTCTCCTACCTCAAAATCACCGACAAGCCCTGTTGATACACTTGTACCTCGCTACTCTCGCCAATAAACATGAGTGTCTAGCCACACGGAGAAAGGCAATATGAGACAACAAGCGTAAGATTCTGTGGCATATTCTATACCCTTGTTCCTTTGGACACCATCTATAGCTTTTTAAAGATTTTTATTTTTCCTTTTTCTTCCCAAGTCCCCCCGGTACCTAGTTGTATATTTTTAGTTGTGGGTCCTTCTAGTTGTGGCATGTGGGACGCTGCCTCAGCGTGGCCTGATGAGTGGTGCCATCTCTGTGCCCAAGATCCGAACCAGCGAAACCCTGGGCCGCTGAAGCAGAGCGCGTGAACTTAACCATGCGGCCGGTCCCAGGACACCATCTATAGCTTTTTGTTCAACTAGGAAATATAGTACTTTCATATTTCCAAATCTTCCTGCCACAGATTGACCAATTTGTCCCCTCCCTGGAAAAACTCAATATACCTTGTCCTGTCGCCACTCAAATCATAGAAAATGGAGATGGATTTATGGGAAGATTTTCTAACTACTGATTCAGTACTTTTATTGGTGATAGGAGCAGTCTGGTTTTCTATTTCTTCTTAAGTCAGTTAGAGTAAGAGACATTTTCTAGGAATATGTCCATTTCATCCAACTTTCCAAAGAAATACAGTTGTTATTTGTAAACTCAGCTCCTTATATTAGAAAAGAAAGGGGCCAGCCTGGTGACGCAGCAGTTAAGTGAGTACATTCTGCTTCGGTGGCCTGGGGTTCTGCCGCTTCAGATCCCAGGTGTGGACATGGCACCGCTTGGCGCGCCATGCTGTGGTAGGCGTCCCACATATAAAGTAGAGGAAGATGGGTACAGATGTGAGCTCGAGCCAGTCCTCCTCAGCAAAAAGAGGAGGACTGGCAGCAGATGTTAGCTCAGGGCTGATCTTCCTCAAAAAAGGAAAAAGAAAAGAGAGGAAAAATTAAACACTGAAGGTATAAATTTTCTTCTAAGTACCCCTCTAGAGGCATTCCCAAGTTTTGATATTTTTTACTATTATTCCATTCCAAATGTTTTCTCACTTCCATTTCTTTCTTGAGGAAGATTAGCCCTGAGCTAACATCTGCCAATCCTCCTCTTTTTGCTGAGGAAGACTGGCCCTGAGCTAACATCCATGCCCATCTTCCTCTACTCTATACGTGGGACGCCTACCACAGCATGGCCTGCCAAGCGGTGCCATGTCCGCACCAGGGATCCAAACCAGCGAACCCCGGGCCATTGAAGCGGAACGTGCGCACTTAACCGCTGCGCCACCGGGCTGGCTCCACTCCATTTCTTCTTTGACTCATAAATTATTTAGAAGTGCATTTGTAAGTTTCCAAACATAGGGGTCTTTCTAGTTTATTGATTTCTAGCTTTTAATTATAACACAGACAACCGAGTCTTTGTGACGTGAATCCTTTGAAATTTGATGAGATTTGGTTTATGGCCTAGTATGCGGTCAATTTTGGAAATCTTCTATACATGCTTGAAAAGAATGTGTATTTGCCAACATTCTATATGTCTACTACATCTTGTTAACTGAGTTGTTCAAATCTACTTATTTTTAAATATGTTTTATCTCTTACTGAGAGAATCTGTTAACTTCTACTACAATGAGAGATTTGTCAATTTCTACTCAGAATTCTGTCAAAATAGAGAGTTCTCTATAAGAGTGCCACTGGATCATTTTAAGTCAGTAGGGAAAACTGCACTGCATTAACTGGCTAGTCATTTGATTAAACAAAGACAAACAAAACATATATCCCTAACTCATTTTATTTACCAAATAACTTCCAGCTAGGACAAATATTTCACTTTAAAGACTAAAACAAAAATATTGGAAGAAAATATGTACCAATGTGGTCCTAGTCTTGGAAAAAAAGGCTTTCTTTCTAAGCATGAGATCAAAGCCAGAAACCATGAAAAGATGGATAGATTAAACTTGGCAAAAATACACATAATATTTGACAAAGGATATCATCACTAGTATACAGAATGCTCTTAAAAATGATTAAAAGAACCACAAGATAAAATGGACAGAAGGTAGTAACAGGTAATTAAGTATTAAAAATTCAACCTCACAAAGAAATAAATGAAATTTAAAACAAAAGGATTTATTTTTTATTAGACTGGTAAAGATGAAAAAATGCCAATTCCCAGAATTAATTGAAGAGTGAAAGTATAAATCTGTACAAACTTTCTAAAGGACATTTTGACAATATGTATTTGCATTTTATCTGAATCAGAATTTCTACTTCCAGAAAGTACCCTAAGTAGATAACCAGACATATGTACAAGGATATTCCTATAAAGATGTTACTCTATAAAAAAAAAATCGGAAATACCCTAGTTATCCATTAGTAGGACGTTAGTTATCAAAGTACATCCATACCACAGAAAGCTCTAGACAGTAGGTTGAGATTTACCCCAAACACAGTGAATGAAGAAAGCTGGAAAACAAATATAAGCCAGTTGCACGTTATATAAAATGATGTGTTTAGAGATACCCACTTATCTGGCTATGTGACCCTGGATAAGCTGCTTCACCCCTCTATGCTTTGGTTTTCTCTTCTATAAAAAGAGGGTAATAGTAACTGCCTTATAAGACTTTTATAAAGATATTATATATACTGAGTTTAGAACAGTACCTGGAAATGGCAATCATGTGTGCTAGCTGTTATTATAACCATAACTAGGCATAAATGCCTGAAAGTATGTACACCACAATGTTATCCAGGGTTCACTCAAAGACAGGATTTCAGATGAATTTCAATGTCTTTTTTATGCCTATTTTTCTGTATTGCTATTAATCTAAAATTCTTTTAAAGACTGCTTCTGGGTTCCAGAATTCCCTGGCCTCGGCTCCTTAACACTGCCCCTTCCTGCATGAGGGCTGGTCCCCTGTCCTGGGTCCTTTTCTGCCGGGCTCCTTTGTCCTTATCTGTCCCTGCTACCTGCAGGCCTGCAGATGCAAGACTTAGTCAAGCCTAGGCAGGACTGAAGGAAACCTGACCAGCTTTGCCAACTATCAATATAGCCTCCTGTCAACCATATCTACTTCTTACATCTTCTTCACCAAGCCAGTCAGGCCACTTTCTTCACTGTTCCAGGAACAGCTCTGGTTTATCTCCACCTTGGGGTACTTTTTTTGTAATTTGAGGAAGATTGGCCCTGAGCCAACATCTGTTGACAATCTTCCTTTTTTTAAATTTCCCCCAAGGCCCCAGTACACACTTGTATATGCTAGTTATAGGTCATTCTAGTTCTTCTATGTGGGATGCCACCACAGCATGGCTTGATGATTGGCGTGTAGGTCTGCGCCCAGGATCCAAACCAGCGAACTCTAGGCTGCCGAAGCAGAGTGCACAAACTTAACCACTTGGCCACATGGCCGGCCCCTCCAACCTGGGGTATTTACTCCTGTATTTCCTCCTGCCTAAAGCACACTGCACTGTCCCCTCAGTGACTCATCAAAATCCAGCCCATCTCTTCAGCTTCTGCCTCCTCCATGGAGCTGACTGGTAGAGCCCTCCACAATCTCCAAGAATAAGAGGTGGAACCCGAGAGGAAGAGATGTTAGACATCCTCTCCTGGTCGCCAGCTCTCTCTGTAAAGGGCCAGACAGTAAGTATTTTTGGCTTGTGGGTCATCTGGTATTTCACAACTATTCAGCTCCCATCATGGAGCATAAAGGCAGCCACAGAGAACGTGAAAATGAACGTGTGTGGCTGTGTTCCAATAAAACTTTATTTATGGACGCTGAAATCTGACTTTCATCTAATTTTCACAAGTCATGAAATCTTCTTCTTGCTATTTTCAACCATTTATAAATGTAAAAATCATCTCTAACCTTACAAAATCAGGTGCCAGCTGGGTTAGGCCCTCGGATGGCAGTTTGCTGGGTTCTGCTTTATCTAGTTCAACGAACAGCCTCATTTTTAAGAGAAAAAAGTCAGGCCCTGAGAAGCTCTAAACAAACTGCCCAACATTAGTTAAGTGACACAGATGGGGCCAAAACCCAAATCTCCCGTCCCTGGCAGGCATATAACAAGTGCTCCAAGGGCCCACAGAGGGGAGTCACACAAGGCCATTCTTCTCTCCAAACTACAAACCTATATAGTTGGTGCTTTGATTAGTTATCTTGTTTTCTAATGTTAGACTATTTTATATTTCTTATATAGGTCCTCCAGGGTCCTCCCCTGATTCTAATATTTGTGTCTGCCCACAGTAAAATTCAATACTTAATTTACACTAAATAGAAACTGCATTATTCTCCCTCTGGGGGGGAAGACCCACCGTGTTCTTTTATGCCATGTAAAACATGTAAAACCCCCTCTTTTTAAAAAAGTCTCAGATATTAAATATCAACTTAGATTAAATTCATTATATGAACTAAGATAAATATGTTCAGGCATACATTTTATAGAGACGATAATTTTAGGTTTGCTTAATTAAATTGTTTAAATCATAATTAAAAGTGTGTTATAAATCCTTACTAGGCTTTCTCTCATGTTAAAGTTTGAAGTGACTAGGTTTTTATCATTTGTACCCCAAATCAATGGACACCTGAAATATTATAATCAAAATTAACTTGCTTCACTGTCATCCCCTTCATGCCCTAGAAATCAGAATGATTTTCCTTACCATCATAATTAAACCCTCATAAATTATTTTAGCCAGATGAAAATTTTCAGAACCCTAATGGGCCGGGAAATACTTTTTGGTCTTAAAAAAAGAAAAAAGACACTAGTACCCGAAAGACCAGCTTAAAAAGAACGTCAAGGGAAAAGAGCTGGGGGAGGGCAAAAGGGGTGAAGGGCAACATTAGAATGGTGACAGATAAAAACTAGAGTATTGGGGGTGAACACGATGCAGACTATACAGAAACTGAGATATAATAATGTACACCTGAAATTTACACAGTTATAAGCCAATATGACCTCAATAAAATAATTAAAAAAAAAGAAAGAAAGAAACAATGTCATAGCTCTCTAACCAGCCCAACTTTTCAAAGGTCTGTGTTCCTCCTGCAATAGCAGGTGCTACCTACTCCGATGACGTCAGCGTTGTAGAGCCCATTTGTAACAGCGAGACATCCCCAAACAAAGGATTGGGATCATAAGATGCAAATTATTTCAATTTTATTTTTTAAGATCCTACTATTCTCTCTGAGCTGTACACATGGGAACTAAATCGGGATTAAATACTTGAGATTCAACAAAAATGTGTCGGTGTGCTGCCGACAGAAATTTTTTTAAAAATTACTTTTTCTTTCTTCTCTCTTTAAATACCAGAGTTCCCATATGATCTTTGCAGATCATTCCTTATCAGACTAAATTTACAACGTGTTTATGGAGCCAGGAGGATTCGACTGGAGAAAAGAAGTTTCGGAGAATTAGGTGAGATTAGAAGGAAAGGTAGGAAGTAAATGAAAGGATAATGCTTCAGTCCTGGGGTCACAATATTGGAGGGAAACTGGTGACAAAAGGTGATTGAAAACATTTATTGTGCAGAACCAAAAATCATTTATGTCTCACATTTCAAACATACATATGAAAAAACTAGTGTGAGGATTCATTTGACCTGGTTACTGAAATCATGAAGCACTCACCTGCACTTCACCCCAAAGGGAAAACCCTCCGATTTTTAACATAATGTATAAAATTTCACATTCCAATCACTACAGTTTGACTGGCAGAAAGTTGACCTCATAGCACAAAATGAAAAACCAAGGTTCAGCATGTTCCAGTGTCCTCTGAAAAAAATGATCTCACTGGAAGGATGACAACAGAAGAGGGAGTGACCAGTATTTTTGTAGGTCTATACTACCCAAATTCTCCCATCCTCCAGTAACCACTAATTTAGTTATTTAAATCCTTCTTAAGCTTTTCTACATTGTGAAAGAGAAAGGAATGCGTTGAAAAGGACTGTCATTTCCAACTCCCTCCTGAGACTCACTGCTGAGGCCTTTTTGTCCCCAAGTTCTCCAACCCCGAGAGACATTGCTATTTCGCAGCCGTCTTCTTAGCCCCACAAAATGGCTCCCTTTGTGCCACTTGCCCAGGACCCCAAGGCTGGCCACACATGACTGCGGGTCGTGATCAATGAAGAGCAGATGCCCAGAAAAAGTGGAATTTAAGCTTCCTCCAAGCCTTGAGCAGGATCCCAGAGATGCCTGTATCTCATCTTAAAAAACAGTGTGCAATTAGCCGAGACAATGTGGACATCTTCCACAGGATCCAAACCCTTCCACCAAGTTAGACAAGGGCTTGGAAAAGGGTCTCAGTCCAAACACCATGCCCAGCGCCCCCTTTCCCAAATGCAGTGGCATGAGTGGCCAGAAAGGCCCCAGCTTTTCAGGTGGAGATAGTACGGAAGAGACAATGGATGTCTCCGGCCCCGCCCAAGAACAGGAAACCTCCTCCAGCACGGGAACCGGGGCCAGGGATGAACTCATTTGACAAACGTCAAATGGGGAAGCGAAAGAGGAGGGATGCAAAGACCGAGGTCCAAGAGTTTGAGCGCAGAAAACCCACTCGGACTGGCTCGCTCCCCCTCCCTTTCGGTGGTGGGAGCGGGAGGGGAAGGAGCAGGGGTCTTTCCTTTGTTAGCAGAGGGGAGGCACTTCGCAGAGTGCTGACGGTTGGCTCCTGGACGGGGTTGGGGGTCGCGATAACCAGCCCCGCCTGACCACAAATGCCACCTGCCGGGCGGGCCCCAGTGGGTAGGAGTCAGCCGGACCCGATGGCTGCGGCTGCAGGATTTGACCGACGCGCCAGGCGCAGGGCCGCCACCTGCCCCGGGCCAGAGGCAAGAGCGCGTGGCCCGAGGTGGGACAATAGGGCCTGATCGAGGCGCCCCGTGGGCTGCCGGGGCACCCGGGGGCCAAGACCACCGCCCTGGGGCCGGGCCAGCCGTGCCGCAAAAGAGAGAACAAACCCTCTCGGCAGGTCCCAACTAACGAGAAGTCGCCGCGCGGCGAGGACAGGTGGCCCTGACCCTCGGCCCCTCGCTCCAGGAGACGAATGAATGGGAAAAGAACAGGAATCGGGCGGGGCCGGGGTGCCGGGCTCGCCAGGAGGCACAAAGGTGACGCGGGCGGCCGAACCCCGCCGCCCGGTTGGGCGCGAGCGCGGCGCCCTGGGCACGTTACCGACAACGACCGGCCTCCCGACCCTCGCAGCCCCGCCGGGCAGCGACCCTCCCGCCCCCAAGCCACACGCGGCACGGGCTCGACCCGCAGCCTCACCGGGAGCTATTCCTGCTGTTGGGGTCGACGCCCTTGAAGGTGGTGGTGGTGGTCATGTCGCCGAACAGCGAGGTAGGCTGGCGCCGGAGCACAGCGCAGAAAAGGGTCGGGTCCGAAGGGCACAGAGGAGCTCTCCACGCCACCACCGGCGACCGCTGCAGGAGCCTCCGCCACCGCCTGCCTGGCCGGCCGCCCCCTTTATACGGCTGGCAAACCCCGCCCCCTCCCCACCTGCATTGGCCGATTCAAATAGCTCTTTTCGTTCCTATTGGGTCCCTGGAGTGTCAAGCATCGTGCGGCGTCGTGACGGGCTGCAGCGGCCCCTGCTCAGCCTAAACCCACCCCCTTCCTGGTCAGGGAAGGTCTAGGGGAGTTCCCCTTCCCCCACCCCAAAATCTCGGCGATGATTGGACAAAGGACGAACCTGCCCCGCACTTGGTACAAGTTGTGCTCGCTGTCACTTAAGAAAGTTACCTGACAAGAGGGAAAAGCTCGCTCTGGGCAAGTTGGAACCCACAAACCGAAGGCAGATTTGTCGCTACCATTCACTTATTCGCCTTACTCACGGTGAGACAGTAAAGGCATGCTCCTTCAGGGATGAAAATCACTGCTACAAACGGACACTTATTGAATACCTACTGTGTCCCCCGTTTGGAAACCTAACTGTCCCAAAGCAGCAGCACTATGAGTCAGCAACAGAAAGCAAGCCAAGACGATCCCTTTTAAAACGACTGGAAATTCTTTACATTTTAATGTTATTATTTAGCTGTAACGGGTGCTGCATGCACTAGACCAAAATTACAGACGTTCCCGTTTGAGGGCCTGTTCTAAGGCTGGTTAATGCCCGGCGGCAGGGAATGGCCACATCCCTTGCTACCAAAACTACTGGAGCAGCCCAGGGCTCCGCAGCTGTTTATAACCCTTAAGTCATGCCTCTTCCACCTGTCCGGGTAAATCTATCCCTGCAACAAATGCGGACACACTTGGAGGGCTGAGGAATGACTGTACAGAGCGTCACAAGAAAGTCTTGGGCAAACGAGAGTGGGGGCCTTCCCGTCATGCACGTTTCCTCAAGTAGATCTTTTTTCAATATTTCCATAAAAATTGAATTACATTCCTCTTTGTGTGGCTGCCTCCTCCTTCCGGGAAGTTAGAAGTTTGTATTCTCGACTAACCATTCTCCTGGGCTTTCATGAAAAGCCAGAGATGATAAGTTCTCTTCTAGAAGGCATGGATCATGTCTTTATGTGCTTACCACTAAAGCATGAAACACGCCACCTTGTTTGGATTAAAATCTTTCCATTCTTAAAGGCCGAGCCTTAATTTCCAAAACCTTAACAAACCAAAAGAGCTTTCAGACCAAACTAACCAGTGAGCACGCATGTCCTCCTTAAAAACCATGTAATTATGGAGCAGGAGGTGGCGGGGTATGGTGGCTCAAGCACTCCTTGTTTTTTGTATGTTAAATAATGACGGATTTGGGCTTGACTCTTAGGGTCCCTTCTGGCCTAAACTTCTGAACTTGTCCTTGCCTTGCCTTATTCCCTCTATTCCCTGTAGTCTAGTAGAAGACACGTTGGTGTGGCAACAGAGCACTGGACTGGAGATCAAAAGCCTAGGTTCTGGTTCTGCTCCCTCCAAAGGAGAGACGTTTCTCGTTCATTTAGACGCTTGAGGCCAGTTTCCTCATCCGTAAGCACCTATTCTGAGTTGCTGTGAGGGTTAGAACGAGATGAGTGTAAGAATGTTGCACTTGGTAAACTAAAGCTTTCTATTAGAGGTGCCCCACCCTAGCTGCAAATCAAAATAACCTATGAACTTTTAAGGGTTACAAATGAATGCCAGGTTGCGTTGGGGATCTACTGAAGGGGAAGTTCTAAGGGAAGGGTCCAGTCACGGTCAGCTTTAAGTTGAACAGGTAATTCTCACAATATAGCTTGGGTTGAGGACCTCTGCTTCAAAGGTGAGGAAGGAATCAGTCCCCGAACTTTTAATCTAATCTGATTTATGAAGAAGGGTAAATTTATGTAAAACAGACATCTTAGTAAGACTGTCTTAGGCAGGCCTGTTTGGCATATTCATTGTATTTTAAAGTAAAAGTGACAGAAATGTCCAGAATAACTAGCCCTCCTATTTACTTGCTCATGTACTGTTAACAGTTTTGACTAAAATCGCTGTACTCTACTTTCTACCGCAAGATGCAGCTTTGTGGTAAAAGAGACAGGATATGTAGCCCTGCTATAATAACGCTTTGCTCCAGATGACCAACTCAGTCAGAAATGGGATGTTAATAAAATTACGTTTTGTCCAAAAAATCAACACAGACCAGCATCAAAAGATGCAAACGGACGGGGCAAGGTGAACATGTGCTTTTAAAATCACAGAGGCCCATCATTATGATTTTATAATACATACCCAGGATCCTTTATCAATACAAAACATGTTCCAAATTCTTAGGTTAACCTAACCTCTAAAGAAATACAAGACAGACGAAATCTTATGACAAGGAAGGTGCGAACAGCCTTTCATGACCTATAGCAGTGTTTTTGAAACATCTATGAAGCAGAATCCAAATATATAAAATACAGTAACAATAGAGGCCCTGTGTTTGAACCCGGGCAGAGGATCCCAAATCCTGACCCTGTCTGTCTCCTCCTGTCCTTTTCTGGCCTTTCTCTCCACTCTGTTCTCCTCTCTGTACAATCCCAGGGTTCCACTAAGATTAAATTTTAAAACCACTACCCTATATTCATGTCTGTTTTCACCTGCTTTTTGTTTTGTTTTCTTTTTGAGGAAGATTAGCCCTGAGCTAACTGCTGCAAATCCTCCTCTTTTTGCTGAGGAAGACTAGGCCTGAGCTAACATCCATGCCCATCTTTCTCTACTTTATATGTGGGACGCCTTCCACAGCATGGCTTTTGCCAAGCGGTGCCATGTCCGCAGCCGGGATCCGAACCGGCGAACCCGGGACCGCCAAGAAGCGGAACACACACACTTAACCACTACACCACCCGACCAGCCCCTCACCTGCTTTCTAACTATAGTTCAGGGGAGGAGAATGAGCAGTCCCCCACATTCTGTGACTTTTCACGTCTTTACGCATTAAGTGGTCTTCAATTTCCCTTAGTCCCATCCTGCCGCTTCCCTACTATATTCAAAGTACTGGCCTTGCATTGAAAATTCAATTCAGAGAGCCTAGTAATCGGCTTTCCCAACAGGTTTTTGTAAACCCAACATTCCCGGAATTGCCTCAGAACACAATCTATTATTCTGAAGCAGGTACCAAGAAATCTTTACTATTTAAAAGATGTCAGAAAATGTTTAAAGCTGTAGTAGTTTTCCTTTAACATGGACAGGAATCCTGTTGGTTTTTAAATTTGTTGCTGAGTGTATGGAGAGTTTTATTCAAGAATGCAATGTAGGCTGGCCCCATGGTGTAGTGGTTAAGTCCGGCACCCTCTGCTTCGGCAGCCTGGGTTTGGATCCCAGGTTCGGACCTACACCACTTGTCAAGCCACGTTGTGGTGGCAACCCACATACAAACGGAGGAAGACGGGGACAGATATTAGCTCAGGGCTAATCTTCCTCAAGCAAAAAAAAGAGAAAGATTGGCAACAGATGTTAGCTCAGAGCGAATCTTCCTCACCAAAAAAACCCAAAAAACCCCACAATGTACAACTTACTCTAAATAATCTTCTGAAAGTTCTTCACCACTTGTGCCTACTATACTAAGGTAATACAATAGTCTGCCCTACTCCTTGGGGAATACATTTCAAGACCCCCAGTGGATGCCTGAAACCATGGATAGTACTGAACCCTATATATACTACGTTTTTTCCTATACATACATACCTATGATGAAGTTTAATTAATAAATTAGGCACAGTAAGAGATTAACAACAAGAACTAATAATAAAAGAGAATAGTAATATACTGGAGTAAAAGTTGTGTGAGGGGCCGGCCTGGTGGCAGAGCAGTTAAGTTCACGCTTTAGCAGCCCAGGGTTCGCCAGTTCAGATCCTGGGTGCAGACCTATGCAATGCTTAAGAAGCCATGCTGTGGCAGGCATCCCACATATAAAGAAGACGAGGATGGGCATGGATGTTAGCTCAGGGCCAATCTTCCTCAAAAAAAAAAAAAAAAGTTACACGAATGTAGTCTGTCTCTCAAAATATCTTATTGTACTGGACTCACCCTTCTTTTCATGATGATGTTAGACAGAATGCCTATGTGATGAGATGAAGTGAGGTGAACGATGGAGGCATTGTGACATAGCGTTAGACTACTATTGACCTTCTGATGATATGTTAGAAGGAAGATCATTAAGCCATGATGATGCCAATGGTTAGATGTTAGAAGCAGAAGATGGAGATGGCTGGGGTTCCAACAAAGGGATGATTCAAGTCCCGGGCTGGCTGGAGTAAGATTTCCTCATGCTACTCAGAATGGTGCTCCTTTTTAAAACGTATGAATTGTTTATTTCTGGAATTTTTCATTTAATATTTTTGGATTGTGGTTTACTGCAGGTAACTGAAACCATAGAAAGCAAAACCTCGAATAAGGGGGGGACTACTGCAACGAAATTTTAACCAAATACAAAAATATACACTAACATAGCATCTCTCAGCCCTCAAGCATCTGTTTTTGCCTTGAATGTTACCAGCTTTCCCATTACCAGGCAAAGTGTTCTGAATCCCCCATAATTTCAACCTGCCCCAATTTATTCCAGAATACGAGAGGAAAATGAGCAATCTGCATGGCCTCATTATTGGAGTTTACCGAGATTCTGCAATCAAGTTGGAATCAGTCTCTTGTATCAGTGTCTTTCACTGTAATCCAAGACACACGAGGTTGAACCATATGAAACGGCAGATAGCTATTTTTGACCTACAAGAATAGGAATTGCTTATGTTCAACCATAGTTTAATAGATACTCTTAATATTTTCTATTCCTTCCATTTCATTACTAAAAGAAAATGCTGGTCATATGCTTTTGAACTTGGTTAAGACACTGATTAATGAATGGCTCACTGACAAGTATTTCTTTTTTTTTTGAAGATTGGCACCTGAGCTAACATCTATTGCCAATCTTTTTTCTTCTCCTTCTTCTCCCCAAAGCCTCCTAGTACATAGTTGCATATTCTAGTTGTAGGTCCTTCTAGTTGTGCTATGTGGGACGCCACCTCAGCATGGCCTGATGAGCGGTGCCATGTCTGTGCCCAGGATCCAAACCAGTGAAACGCTGAGCCGCCGAAGCAGAGCATGCAAACTTAACCACTTGGCCCCAGGACCTGCCCCAACAAGTATTTCTAATAAGCATTACTTTTCAACCCCAATATCACAGGGTGCCCCTAAGTATATCACTTATGTGTGACTTAACCATACATATTTACACATACACTCTGCATCCATCACTCCTAAAGCCAAATTTAGTACGCATCTGTCCATTCTTTTCTTAGCTGTATCCTTACCAAAAAAAAAAAAAAAAAAAAAAAAAAGGGCAGAGAAATGCCACTGAGAGACAGCCAAAGGAGTTTATTTTCTCTTAAAACTCATTTGTCATTAAACAAACGAACCAACCGAGGGTCTCAAATATGGAAAATGGCTTTGTCAAGTTCTTGTGTGATCTTTAAGGTAAACAAAATGGTACATACACTCTAAGGTCTGACATGCCCCTCTCAAGTCCTTTTTAATCACTCTGAATTGTAGAAAGGGACAGTGTGATTCATATCTCCCCATTATTTCCTCCTCCTCTCAGACTAAGAGCTGAATAAGATTATGTGGTTGAAGTTTGTCCACTTTCCTCAACTCCACACTGCTATTTCTCTATTTAATAAACAAGCAAAAAACTCCCCTAACTCATCTGTCCTGCTCTCCTAGAAATGAATTTAGCCTCTTTTGCAAAAACTGATGAAATAACATCAAAAAATTTAAAAGGATATTCCCAGAAAACCGTGTGAGAAAATTCCTCCCTTAATATTCCCAACTCTATAAGTTGTGGCAAAGTTAGCTACATAATACACCCTAAAAGTACGAATTGCAAAGAAAACAAATATTACATGACAACTTTTAGACTTTAAACTGTGTCACAAAGGCCACAAGGATGTAGGAAATCCCAAAATGATCTCATACATAGTCACATGTCACTGCTTACAGGGAACTAACACTCCACATTCCAAATAGATTATAAATTCCTAACCTGTGTACATACTCTATTCATGTTCCACTGTGAGGAACTCTTTTCATTAGCTAACCACTATCCAGACCAAAGTTTCATTATACAAAACACATATATTTCTTACTACATCCAGGGCTAACCCTCAAATCACCACCAGATAATGAGAATGCTGAAGCATCTTCTAGATGGGTCCTTTGGTTCTTAAAGTACTGGGGAATCATTAAAATCCTGAGGATTGTTTTTTCTTAAAGACTCATTAGGGCACAATTTAGTATTAAGCATTTATTAAAAAACCTAATGAGACAAAGATTGTATTAGTTTTTTAAATGAATAGAAAGTTCTTGGCCTGGCCTCCAGTTTCTCATTTACATTAAGTGCAAGCCAATCGGTAGAGATTACAGTATTCAGTTGAAGCCTCAGCATCCTACGGCGGAGCCCTTATTTCACACTGGAAATGACTTTTATTTAAAGAGTTCAGTTTGTGAGAGGCATTGTGCTAGGCAGCTAAAACATTATTACCTCATTCAGTCTTCACCATAAGGTGCTTAACTCTTAATTAAGAGTTGTGAGGATGCCTCCCAAAATTGCTTCTCAATTCCATATTGCTTTGAAAATACACTTCTGAGGGTAGGGCCCAGGCATTGGTATTTTTTAGAAGCTCACCAGGGTATTCTAATGCAAAACCACACTCCAGAACCACTATTAGTCACATTTGAAAGCAGGATCATCCTAACTCAAAAATAACCCTCAGCAGCACAGCTGGCCCTCTCCCTTCCACCCTAGCCCCCACAAAGACCTTGGAAAAACTTTCCCATAGGCCTCCCTCAAATCCTGGGATTCCACTGTCTGCTGCCCTCCTAGGGTCACACTCTCCCCATATAACTACATACTTGGACCCAAGCCTCCCATTTCTCCTCAAACTATGTTTACTCCTTCCCATCTTCCATTCAATATCATCTCCTTTAGGTAGAACGATATCAGATTAAAGTAATTCTCATGAAAACATGAAAAACAATGAACCAGTAACTTGACACTCGTATTTCTGAAAAGTTGCTAATACCTCTAGTTTTGGCCTCAAGTAGCTTGTATGAATATGATGGGTGCTTAAGAATAAAAATTCTCTCATATCCTATACAGAACTGTATTCACTTAGATACTACTTGCTACTTTTAGGATATAAACGTGGGGTATTAATGTGAGGGCAGACAGAAAGAGTTTAACTAAATTGTCGGAAAAGTTAACCAAAATGGCAGTATAACTCCCACCATTTGAATCTCCTCTCTCAAGCCAAAAAGGTTAAAATGCAAAAATCACTTTCAGTATTTTCAACAATTCAATTATTTTCAAAGTGTTTTTTAAAAAGTGCTCCATAAATTTTTCCATAGAATATTTGTCTTCTTGGTAGCAACTTTTGTGAAATAGGCTGAGAGCAACAATCAAGGAAAGTTCATTTAAGAACAGAAATAAGGTGAATCTTAAGTAGTTAATACGATGACCCAGCATTAATAAGCTACCCTTTACACACATTTCCCTCTGGCTTTTTAAATTCTACTGAAGTTTTTCTACTGTGAAAGAATTTAAAGTTTCTCTTCTCCCAACATGGCGAAAGCTCAGACATGACATTAGTTAGTAAATTCCTCTGATTAAATAAGAATCCAATTCAAGACTCCTTCTACAATGAAGTTCTCTGGTTTGAATTTTAATCCTAACTTTAATTTTTAGGACACCATGAAATTTCATGATTTAATAGTACCTAGAGCAAGTCAAGGAAAATGTACTTACCTGATCTAAGAATTCTTGGGGGCAGGCCTCCCAGTGTTTCCCAATATCAAGTGTAAAAAGAGGTTGGTAGCACTATGCATATAGGAAAATAAGTTCCAGATGATTCAAGATTAACTCACATACATACAGAGCCAAAAATGTATGAAATTCCTGCTGTCTCAAGCAGCTCATTCACTATAGAAATGGGAAATGTAGAAAAGACCATATTGCTAGATGTGGAGTGAATTAAGTGAGTCACAAGGCTTGATAGTACATGGAGACTTAATCCAAAAAGGCTGCACTGGTAGGCAGTAGGGGTGGGGATTCAGTTTCTTGAGACCCAATACTGGAGAACTCAGTGAAGTGGCATCAGGTAAACCTAACCTCTAGTCCCAGTTTTATAACCACCTAGCTATGTGACAAATAACAACCCTCTGGACATCAGCTTCCTCATTTCTAAAATAGGAGTTAGAATTAGGTAATCTTTGCGTACCTTTCCAGGGCTAATATTCTGTCTGTTCTATTGGTTATCTTCCCCTACACGCTTGAATTTAAAAACTGTAGTGCTTGCATATTTAAGGCTGTATGAATGGCTACTATGCTGATAAACATTTTCTGTCCCTCAACATCTTCAAATAAGGAACAAAATACTCTATTTTAGGTTAGGGAGTTTTTACTCATCAGACAAAGGGAAGGCTAAAATGGTTATAGTTGACCAGCAGAGTCAGCAAAATCAGAACTTCTTCCGAGCTGCATGTACTAACTCACTCTGCCTCAGGTAGTGGTTACAGAACCACAATGTTAGGAGTAAATCCACAACATTGTGACCCAATTTTTTTGCTAGTAAAATTGCATATTTAGAACTGCCTAAGCTTTTTGAACAAAGAAGCTGAAACATCCATTGCTAGTCATTTATATAATTTTGCTATCCTGTTTTTTAATCAGTCTGTCAGAAGTGCAAAGTAGCTTTATTTCTTTCTTGAAATGTTATTTCTAGCGGGCCTATTCATGTCATATTTTTTCCCCTAAGCTTCAACTTTCTATTTAATATTCCTCAAAATAAAGAAAACAGCTCATTTTAAACAAGAAGTTTATTTAAACAACAAGACGCTTGACTTGAAGGGAAAACTATCTAGGATTCATTTCTTTTAGAGTAATTTATCCCTACTTAAAGACAGATTGCCCTACATGTAACAGCTACGTACAAAAAAGTTATAAAATTGTCCTTGGTTTTACAATGATAAATGAAAAACATTAAAATTCTCCAATCGAACAAGGTATGCAAGGATTTTTATGCTGTTCTTTTTTTTTTGTTAAACAGTGAGAGCAAAATAACTTACTGGAATATAAAGATAAGAGCTGAATGAGCATGCCACTAATGGAGAAAGGGGGTATTTTCACAGAACCAGTATTTTTCCCTATCCCATCTCCATTTGATGTCAATTAAAACATACCATTGGCCATTTAGTTTAAAAAAAAAAATGCAATATGCTTGTGCACATACACCAGTTACTTTATGTACAATAAAGGAATGGGGAAGGGGAAAATGAAAGAATAGAGAAAACTATACTGTAGTAGTCAGGACGCGGTGGAACCAAATTGCGGTTTTCTAATTGAGAATGTCTTCTTGGTCTGGAGGAAGAGAGTTCTGGAGTAAAGTAGCAGGTTCCCTTTTTAATAGACACCTCCTGTCTGCTGCTGGAACACATCAATTGTATCTTCATCCTCCATTTCCAACTGGCATAAGAGGAAAAAACATTGAAGGCTACTGATTATTCAGCTCTTAAAATTTATAACTCATCAGAATTTTAAATATCCCGAAAAACTGCACAAGTTCCACCCAGTTCCAGTGTTCATTATTTAAATGTCCCATAGCTTAACATATCATTAGACATTGGTTTAAATAATTTTTGACTTGGTCCTCTTTTTTTATGAAGATTATAGAAAACAGCTTTTTAAGTTAAAAAGCTGAATATGTTCAGGAGTTAAATTACCTCACCTTTAATTATTGAAAATAAGAGTGATGTGTGTAAAGGATCTCACTGCAATGTTATTTAGATGAGGAAGACTGGAAATAACCTAAATATCAATCAATAGAAACCCAAAGAAATATGGTACACTGGTACATGAAATATCACGTAGCTGTTATTAAAGAATAAGTAGATTTACATGTACAGAAACAGAAATATCCCTAAGATACAGTATTTGGCTAAAAAAAAATTTTTCCTAACTAGGTATCAAAACGGCTCATAGTATGATTACATTTGTATTTTTAAAAGTTTGTGTGTGTGTGTGTGTAAATAACATGAATATATCCTTGCCCATGCACAAAACAAGGTCACTTCTATGCAGTAAGGAAAGGGATATGCGCAGAAGAGACTTGTTAAAAAAACTACTTTAAATTTTAAAACGCCACTCACACATTAAGTTTGCAAGGTTCACTACGCACACATATACATAAAACAACTATGGTGATTGTAGGAAGGTCTTGTCTTGGTACATATGGCAACATTGTAACGTAAACAAGCTTTACAGTTTATTATGCTGATCATTACCCTTAAAAATTCTTTCTAAAAACTTGATAATTTTGAAGATAAAACAGTAACCCTGGGCACCTAAAGACAAGAAAGGGAACTGGTTCTAATGTTTAAATATACAAAAGAAGGGCTAAGGCATGAAATATTAATGACCAAGTCTCAATTCCCTCTTTGTAAAATGGAATAGCATTCAGTTATGTGAATTAAATGAATACAAGAAACTACTTAACAGAATGATGGGCACATAATAACACTGCTATTAAAATTAGCTGCTAAGAAGTTCTAATTTATCACAATTCTGCTATTTAATATTGAGAGAAAAACTCTAAAATGAGTCAATTTCTTTCTAAAATAAATTCAATTCCAAATAATACAATGAGTTCAATTCCAAATTCAACTTGAAGATTTTATAATGCAGTTCTGCACAAATCCTCCTTACAGTTTAATATTTGCAGCTTGCACAGTAGACAAACCCCAGAACTTTTTTTGGTGGTAGGTGAGGGCTTCAAAAGACAGAACACACATTCTAGTCATCAGAGTTCAGCATAATGGGTTCTTTTTAGTCTTTAAAAACCATCAAAACATGTCTTCAACCTATTTACTGGAACGTTAAATTTTTTTTTTTTTAAGGATTGGCACCTGAGCTAACAACTGTTGCCAATCTTTTTTTTTTTTTCCCCTGCTTTATCTCCCACCCCCCGCTGCCCGCCCCGTAAACAGTTGTATATCTTAGTTGCCGGTCCTTCTAGTTGTGGGATGTGGAACGCCGCCTCAACGTGGCCTGATGAGCGGTGCCATGTCCACGCCCAGGATCCGAACCCTGGGCCGCCGCAGCGGAGGCGCAAACTTAACCACTCAGCCACGGAGCTGGCCCCTGGAACGTTAAATTTTATAGTGAAAACTTTAGGCGCCTTCAAAGGGTAAAAGAGCTTTTTCTCTCATTCATCAAGAGAATTCAGCTCCTCCTTGTGGCTATATGGTGTAATTGCTTCTTAGAGACTCCCCAATGGAAATTTCTTCAAAATATTCTTCCCTCAAGTACAGGTCACATACATTTCAAATTTTTGAAGATTATCAACAAAACCACAATCTGGTTATGCTGCTTCACTCATATCATACTTATCACTTCCTAGTTTTTATGGAGTGATAAAACAAATTCAAAATACAATGGCTCCAATTTAAATTTGTTATCAAAATATTTTTTCCCAAAACTGGGAGTCTTAATAGAATTTGAGAGGGTAAAAGAAACAAAGACAAAGAGTTTCTGTCATAGAATACAGCCTAGCTGATTCCTTAAAAAGTGACAGAACAGGGCCAGGCTGGTGGCCCACTTCAGCGGCCCAGGGTTCACCAGTTCGGATCCCGGGTGCGGACCTACGTACTGATTATCAAGCCATGCTGTGGCAGGAATCCCACATATAAAATAGGGGAAGATGGGCATGGATGTTAGATCAAGGCCAATCTTCCTCAGCAAAAAGGACTGGTAGCAGATATTAGCTCAGGGCTAATCTTTCTCCAAAAAAAGAGGTGACAGAACTGAAATGATATGTAAAGAGATAAGGGATCAGACAGTGACATCTCTTGCAGAAAGGGTTTAGAAAGCCACCTGTTATCAAGAGCCCTCCCCATCAAACTAAGCTATCAAGAGACTTGCCGTTAGAGCCATTAGTTCCCTTTAGTTAACAAGGATAGGTAAAAGGGACTTCTGCACGAGAACCTAAAATGGTTAGGATCAACAGCCAACCAATCACCTGTGGGGAACCCCAAGTATGATCAAGAACCGCAGCAACAAAAACAAAAGGAAAACAACATTCTGAAGAAACAGGAGTTTTAATTATTTTCTCCAAATAATGCTGGTAATAGGAAAAAAATGGATTAAAGTAACTAAATGACCTATTAGTGTACTAAGTGATAACCAGCTATTTAAAAACCACTGGCATTTCCTGAATCTACTCCTATTTTTTTCTTTCTCTTCTCCTTTGGTCATATATTACATAGCTTTGAACTCTTGTAAAGAACTATATCCCAATGTCAAAGTTCACAAATGAATAAACAAAGCTGTTGAGAATATTACAAAAAACATTCATTTTTCTAGTTAGCAAGAGATTTTTTACCTGTGCAGGTGTGTCTGTTTCATTGATTGGCTGCCCGTCAAATCGGAATCTGATCTGCCTCATTGACAAACCCTGGACAAGAAAGTTCATAGGCACTAAGTATGCAAAGAAACAAGTAAGAACTAAAACCATATGCATATTTAGCCATGAATATATTAAGAGAGACCTAAATAAATGATCATCAATGTTAATATTTCTATGTGGGTAAAAAGATTTGGGGTGATTTTCACTTTCTTAAACTATTATGGATTTTCTTTGGAAAAAGAAAGGTCTTTTTTAAAACAGTATATTGCGTTTGAGACCAGTTACTCTAAGCTTGAATAGATCATACCTTGAGTTAAACAGAACATTTAAATGAGTTAGAAACATACTAAAAGAGGATTTAAAGTAACAGATGCACAAGCAACATTCTTCAATGCATGTTACAGAGCTCCCCAAAGGAAAAAAATAAATCACCCTTAATAATAATGAAAACTGGAAGTCACCTAAAAAGGGGTAATGATTAAAATAAAACCTTGCCTAAAAGCTACCTTACCTTCAGCTCTATCCAAATAGTTCCTACCACATTGGAAGAGTAACCTATGCCCCAACCCAGCACAATGCTAGGCACACCAAAGGCATTCGACAAGTTCTTATCCTTGAGCAGCCAGGGCATTTCCACCAGAACACAAGGCAATGACTGTCCTAAAACCATCCATAAGACCATAGTCCACACCCCAGAACTTCCTGGAACAGCCCAAAAGAAACACCTGCTTTTAAATTTCCTTCTTAGTACTTACCCAAACCTGCAATTATTTATTATCTGTCAACCTCTCACCAGAAAGTAAACTCTAGGAGGGACAGGAACCTAGACTGTCGTGGTTACACTGCACCCCTTCCACATAGTATGTACTAAGTACTGATGAAACAAAATAGACAAAAAGCAGTATCTACCTAACCATGTTTCATTTTCTTTATTTAAAAATAAACCTAAAGCTACTAAGTTGGGGAGAAGCTTTATTACAAAAAGGGAACTTTAAAATTATATTACTAGAGTTTAGTTTCAAGAAATTTTTATATGCATTTAAGGAGATAAATGAGCGTAAACATGCCCTTTCTCCAAACTGGATTCTCATGTTTTACTTATCAAGTATTACCTAGCTGACACAGGGGTGGGGAGAAGGGGAAAGCAGCAAAGCTGTTGGTAACTGCAGCCAAATGAAGACAGGACAGGAAAGTAAAGTATCTTTGGTATGTTGTGAATATGTTAACTTGAAAAATAGCGTTCTAGGAAGCATCTTACAAAACCCACTCCTGTGTCACGCTCAAATCACAAACTATAATTACTGTTACATAAATTCCTTGCTTCAACTGATAAAAGAAAAAATTAAACTGAATTCCTAGGAGTAAAAATATTGAAACAAAGTGCTCAATGAACACTTGTCTAACACCTTTATTCCCTTATTTAACAAGGATTCACTCAATCTGTCTTTAAAACTACTGTTAAGATGAAGATGTTGCTTTCCTGTTAAACTCTAGTCTTTGACACATGCCACTTTCAGACTAGCTCGTCTTGAGGAATACAAGCACTCTCCCACCAGGCAGGTGACATTGATGACCTTAATTCATTCCTCATGACGTTCAAATTTAATTTGCAATTACACAAAGCAACCAAGAACACAATGCCAAGCCATTAATTACTATATTTGCAAACATTCCATGGAAGACTCCTCGCTTCAACAAAATACTAAGCACCTTCTATGTGCAGGGTTCCTCCTTTACTACATCCACTGATATGGTCGTATGGTCTACGGTGTGGCCATTCAAAACAAGGGGAGGTGGGAGCAGGGAGGCAGAGCCATGACAACACAAGCGAATTGTATTCCTTCATTGCCACCTGTTTTTATGATTTTATAAATAAAAGAAAGCTCTTTTATTTATAGAGCATCAAAAGTCCAAAATTCAGGAAACTTGTTTTTAAGATTCCACAAACTATGTAAATTCAATGAATTTACATTAAATGAGCATTTGGGCTCGTCTTCTGTATAAATCTCATCGCTGAGCTTTAGAGTTGTACCTTGGAAGAGTTATATGAGGTTACTTCTTTAGGTCCCCGTTTCATTTCACAAAAATGAATTGGACTAAACCTATGAATCTGTGCTCTCTGAAACCGCCTGATACTCCATGAAATAATCTGTTAGGGTACATCCACATTAGAACGGATATGTTCTCAGTTAGCTGAAAGCTACGTGGCTGATATAAAGTGGGCACACTCAAATTCTACACATGAATGAAAAACTTATTTACAAACCAACCTCTGGAGTTATTAGTATGAATGTCCTCTATCATTTTACAAGCATTTATTGAGCATGTTCTATATGCCAGGTACTGGTCCAGGCTCTAGAGAAACTGAACCAAAATGCCCTATGCTCATGGAATTCACATTGCAGTGGATAAATACAGCCAGCGATCAATGCAAAAAACAGACAAAAGTGAAGGGATTCAGTGATGGGAACAGGGGCACTTTGAGTTATTCAAAGAAGTCTCTGAGGTAGTAACTGAGAAGAGTGGAATAAAATGGTTGAGGGCTCAGCACTATCCAAGAGAAACATGTGAGCCACATACATAATTCTGAATTTTCTAGTTGCCACATTAAAAAGTTAAAAATAGGTAAAATTTGGGGCCGGCCCTGTGGCCAAGTGGTTAAGTTCGCGCACTCCGCTTCGGCGGCCCAGGGTTTCACCAGTTCAAATCCTGGGCGCAGACATGGCACCACTCATCAGGCCATGCTGAGGCGGCGTCCCACATGCCACAACCAGAAGGACCCACGACTAAAAATGCACAACTATGTACCGGGGGGCTTTGGGGAGAAAAAGGAAAAATAAAATCTTTAAAAAAAAAATAGGTAAAATTTTATTAAGATGTTTTAACACATTAAAAATACTATCATTTTGGGGCTGGCCCCATGGCATAGTGCTTAAGTTCAGTGCATTCTGCTTCAGCAGCCAGGTTCAGGGGTTTGGATCCCCAGCATAGACCTATACCACTCATCAGCCTTGCTGTGGCAGTGACCCACAGAGAAAGTAGAGGAAGACTGGCACAGATACTAGGTCAGGGCTAATCTTCCTCAAGCAAAAAAAAACCAAAAAACACCCCTATCATTTCAACATGTAATCAACATTCAACATGAGATATTTTATTTTTCATAGTTTTCAAAACCTGGCATATATTTTACACTTTACAGCACATCATAATTTGGACTATCCACATTTCAAGTGGTAAACAGTCACACGTGGCTTACGGTTACTGTTTTGGACCGCACAGGTTTAGGGAGAAAACACAATTTGCTGATGGATTTTATATGTTATGAAGCACCATCAAGGATGACCCCAAGGTTATGACCTCACTAGATGTAGGATGGTGGTTTACCGAGTGGGAACACCAGAGAAAAAGGTAACTAGTACAATCAACAACTCTCTTTTGCATGTTCAGTTTGAGATGTCTATTAGACATCCACTTCAAACTCCTCCAGAGATAGGATGCCAAGTGAGTTGACTAGAAAGTTAACTATGGGCAGTTAATCTTGATAGGAAATCCTTCGTTAAGAATTGTCAAATGCCAAAAAAAAAAATAGCTATGCAAACTAATTGGATAAATACTCTAGTCTTTTGATAGCCCGTACCTATGCTTTAAAAGCAGGGAATCAGCCCAATTAGGTGATACCTCAACTCCCTCTTCCTTAGAATGAAAGAAACCATTTGAAAAGTAAACAGGAATCTTTTACACTCAAATTCTGATGTTACTCCCAATTTAAGAGGAAAATAGGGATAAATCTCTTTCCAAATTCTTCCTGGATCCTATCTTCAAATCATATCTGCCTTCCAACAGATATGCAGATTTATATTTTTTATGGATTTCCAATGCTTCTTTTCCTTCTAGTGTAAATTAAGAGCGGCCCCAACAAGCTTAGTCAAATATAATCGCAATCTTAAGCCTAATAATTGAAAAAAATTCAAGGAAAATTTTCTTTACACTGGGTAATACATTAAATTTATTTTAACAGCAGGAAAAGTCAAAAAACTTCTTTGGGGCACCTACAAGAAATATGGGAAGTCTCAAATATGACCATTTTAGGTTGGATAGAGAGTATCAATAAATATGTATAGCAAATGTTAACGGTTAAATCTAGCTGATGGCCACATTCAGTGTAAAGTTCTTTCAACTCTGCTCTACATTTGCAAAGTTTTCATAAGTGTTGAAAAATACGATCATTTAAAGCTAACATTTAGTAGTAATTAGAGAAAGGTTAAGCAAGATATGCAGAGAATTTTGTTGAAAACCATCAAGTGTAAGCATGAATTTCTACTTTGTATAAGGTTTTGCTACATAAAACTGCTACAAAATGATTACCCTTTAAAATGCCCCTGTAACCTGAAGGGGCACTAGTGTTCAAATACGGAAGGTGCCAGTGCAAAAATTCTTTGGCACAATGAGTACAAACTTACTAACTGTTAAGAGGATCTCACCAAAATTCTTCAAGGAGTATACTGAAAATCTCATCTTTCTAAGGAAGTATAAGAAAGTTTATGAATGAAGATAAAGAATTACAAGTGTTCTCTTATTACGTTATAAATAAATTGGGAATAAAATAAAGCTTCAAACTCAAAAAGAAGTTTCTATCTTCAGTTTCTTTCAAATGCCCTTAGGTCTCACTGAGGAAGCCCAGGTATCAACTCAAACTCAATTTCCTAACTTCTACAGGGTTAATCCTTACGCTATTTTGAGCCTATTTTTAGGACAGTATGAAATGTAGAGAATTGTTTTGGTCTAAAAGAATGATTTTCCCAACTTTTATATATTATATATTCAGAGCTGAACAAGAAAAATACTCCGCAAGGTTATTATTGGATTAACCCATCTAGGGCCCAGCCTTTTTGTTATACTTGCAAAAGTCATCTTTAAAGTTGCCTTTGTATTGTTACAGACTCAATATCACAGAAAGCTTCTTTGTTTTAAAGCTTGCATTTACCTCCCAGCATCTGTTCACTTCTACTTCCTCTTCTTGATGTCCATTTACTATTTTCTGAGTAAAATGCAAATGTCCCCACAATATAGGAATGTTTATGCTTGGGCAGGAGGTTAAATTTCTTATCTCTACTAATAGTGTAAGAAGAAAATACTAAAATTTTACATGCTTCAAGAAAACTGCAGTGTCCTTAAACTCATTTTATTTGCAAACTGTTTAAAATACTCAAAATAAATTGTTTCGACACAAGACAAATTTTAAATGGATTAAAAAAAGAGCCTGACAAGAAATTTTACCAGGTTCATTCCTATTTTCTTATAAAAATAAAATTATATCCCCTAGGGAACAAACCACATGCTCTGAAAATAACTGATGCATTTCTGGCGCTGGACTAGAATCATATGTATTAATCAAATCATCCTAAGGATTTTCATGAAGAATCAACATACCAAGTGTATAATAAAACTGACAAGTATATAAATGCATATTCGTTCTACCAGATAGTCTATTGTAATATCATGCTAGTCTAGTTTCTATTCCCAAGAAAATAAAGTTTGCTTTTTTAAAATAAGCTTTTTTTCCTTTTCTTCTTGTCCCCGAAGCCCCCCAGGACATAGTGGTATATTCTAGTTGTAGGTCCTTCTAGTTCTACTATGTGGGATGCCGCCTCAGCATGGCTTGATGAGCAGTGCTGGGTCTGCCCAGGATCAGAACCCCAGGCCAGTGAAGCGGAGCACCCGAACTTAACCATTCAGCCACGGGGCCAGCCCCTTAAATAAGTTTTATTCAGTGGAAGTGCACATGTCAGTTCCTCACCTGTCGTTCACAATAGGCTTTCATTAGTTTACTAAGTGGTGTATGCCTCTTAATCTTAAACTGCACCACAGAACCATCCTGCCCCGCCACCTTCAAATTAATATGATCGTTGTTCTCAGTCTTGACTCCTTCCTGTTGAAAGAAAAATAAAAGTATAATTTGAAAAACGTGAAAACCAAACTCCTTTTAAAGCAGTAGCAGCCTAAGTCGCTTCAGAAATCAACAGGTTTCTCATTCTGTATGATAAATGAGCATACAGCTGTTTTCAGGCGCTGAAATCAATCTGAAAGAGAATTCCTGGAGCAACAATATTAAATAACTGTCACAAAAACAGAAAAGCAGCTCACATGCAATACTATCCGTGGCAACAATTGATTTTTAAAGAAGAGTCCCACTTAATTCACTGCAATGCTCTCTTGACTCTGAATTTTCTCAACTGGCATATTTTATATCACTCTCAAAATATATCTTTCCTCTAAAAAGATTAAAAATAAGTGTCTTTTCCCTTTCAAAGTGCTCTAAGTACAGACTGCAAGGAAAAAAACCTAGAGCTTGCAATTCAATACTCATTACAATTCTCTTAAAAAGTTACCAAACTCAGTTTAATAACTTAAATCCCTAACTACATTAAAAAAATCTAATCGAGGAATATCCTTTGATTCTCTCTGAAGCAGCGGTAATAACTGAAACCACTATTAACGTTCGCCTCTACCACGAGCAGCTTCATTTTTGTTTATTTTTAGTTAAGAACTCCTATTCTCCCCTCCCCTTTGTTGTCATGGGTCAAATGCAGTTTTATTCCAAATCTTCCTTGTAGATTTCGACCCAATCTGAAGTTCGCCAGAATCAAGCGTGCAAGGAATTCTGCAGCCCCTAAATCACTTCCGAAGAGAAGGGAGGGGGTGTCACAAAACAAACGTAAAGAAAGTCCCGCGTGCCAGGAAGAAGTGTGTGCCCTCGTCCTCCCGGGAACAGCCTCCCGGTGCCTCCAAACCCGCCTTGAAAAGTTAAGCCCCACAAAGTCTCTGCTCGTACACATGCCTCCAACTTCTCGAAACCGCATGGTCCCCGCAGCTTGGAGGTTCCTTGGCACCCAGGGAGAAGCCCCTGCCCCTGCCCCCTGGGGACCCTGAGGCCACCAAAATGGGGAGTACTCCCCGGGAACCCCCCAGACCCCGGCCTCAAGACGGCCCGTCAGGCATCCGGTTTCCAGCCCATCCGCAGCCCATTGATTCGCCCGAGCCCTCAGCAGGCCAGGGCGGCCGGGACAGGGGTCCCCAGACGCCCGAGACCCCCACCCCCGAGGGGGAAGCCCCGCGCGGAGGAACTCCCCGCTGCCGCGGAGGCGGCAACACCCACCGTGGGGTCCGCGGAGGGTGGGGACACCGCGCGCCCTAACGCCCCTCCTCACGCGCGCCCGGCCGGCCAGGCCCGAGGAGTCCCGCTCGCGGCCGGTGGGCCCGCGGGCGTCCGCGATCCGCCCGCCCAACTCGCGCCCGGCGCGCACTCTGAGGCGGCCGGGGGCGGGGGAGGGCGGCGGGGCCTCCTCCGGCGCGGGAGGGAGGAAGAGGGGAGGGAGGAAAATGGCGCGGAGCGCCGGGCCTGAGCCGCGGCCGGCCCCGCGGGGGGCCCGGGAAGGCGCGGGGAGCCCGCGGCGGGCTCGGGCCGGACCCCAGCCCGCGCCGTGACCCCGGCCGCGCGGCGAGGCGAGGAGGCCGGCGCCGAGCTCACCTTGGGCTTTTCGTCGGCCATGGCGAACGCCGGAGTCTCCTCAGCTGCCGCTTCACAAAAGAGGTACCAGGTCCGCACCGAACGAGCACACAAGCAGCACCAGGAGCGGCAGAAGAAGGAGGCGGCAGCGGTGGAGGAGGGAGAGGGCGCGCGCACGTCGTGCGCTCCCTCCCCCCACCCTGCGTGCGCGAGCACGAGCCTCCGGGGCTCCTCATTGGCTGCCGCCTCGCGGGAGCGCGCAACGCTTACATAACCACCCCCAGCCCCCGCCCCGTGCCGCCTTGGCCTGGGCCCGGCGCCCGCCAGGCCGGCGGGAAGAGCCGCGGACACGCGCACCCGGCCCGCGCGGGGGCGCGCCTGGCTCTGGGCGGGGCTGTATTGTCCTCCTTCTGTGGTGGAGCTTAATCAAAATGGCTTCCAGCTGGTCCTCGGTGGGGAAGAGGAGACTTGAGGCCTAGACGTGAGACACAGGCGAGGGAAGGCAGACTGACTAGACGAGGAACAGGGAGCCTAAATCAAAGCCCCAGCGTAAGGTTTTGGAGAAAACCCTCTTGTTCGGTGGCCCAAATGCAGTTTTCCCCAAGGTTAGAGGAACATCACACTTCCTCTCAGTCAGCCTCTCATCTTTTGGATTTTATAGCTTCAACTTCAACCTGCTTCCCACCAGGCTGTTGCCTCAGTGCAGTGACTACTTCAGTCCTGCTGGTAACCCTGTACTTTGACTAGCTGAGGAAAAATGTTCATCCTTACTCATGGCTTGGCTCCCAACCTCCGAGAGAAAAGAGAATCCATCAGAACTACCCAATATCGGGCTTCCAAACCAATCAATCATTTCCTCTTTCCATCCAATTAAAAAACAGAAGTAGGTCCCTCCTGTCTTAAGAACAATCTGTGCAGTGGATTCCAACCGCTCCTCTCGGGAGGTGTTATTGATCATTTCCTTTGTCCCTGTATTTTCTTCCACTCCTCTGTTGCACAGAAATAGACTCTTTCTCAAGACTCTCTTTCAATTCTATTTCCTTCTTAAGTTATCACCATATCTTTCTCCATTCTTGGCCAAACATCTTGAAAAAATGTCCATGCCAGCTGTCTCCACTCCCTCACCTCCCACTCACTCCTTAATCCTCTGCAATCTGGTGCTGTCCCTGTAGCTCCACTAAACTGCTCTCTACAAGGTCACCACAGACTTATTTGCTGAATCCAGGATGCCTCTCAATTCATCACTCTTCTTGAACTCCCTCCCTGTGACTTTGGGTTGTGACTCTGGCCTGTCCTTAATCCCTTTGCAATTTGTTTCTTCCTCAGCCCTTCCCTTAAAGGTTCCTTGGGTTTTGTTCTAAGACCTTTTTCTCTTATTCTATTCCCTCTCCTGGGATAATTTCACCCACTTCCATGATCATCTATTTGCTAATGATTCTCAAATCTATATTTTTAGTCCAGATCTTTCTCTGAGCTTCCTGCCTTTAAATCCAACTGACTTCTGAACGTGTCCACTTGGATGTCCCAGAGACACTGCAAACTACAAATCTCAACTAAAATTCCTCAGTTTACCTTCCCTAACCTGCCCCTCTCCATCAAGTTCCCAGTTCACTGAAGGGCACACCATTACAACATTGCTCCAAGTCAAAAAGCCAGGGGGCATCCTGGATTCCTTCCTCTCCTTCACACATTCCCCATACAATCAATCTTCAAGTCTTGTCTATCCCACCTTCTAAATACCTACCCAAATCTGTCTACTTCTCTTCAGCCCCTGTCCAGTCTCTGGACTTGGCTGCGTTTGCTGGGCTTCCAGCTGGTCCTCCCTGGGGAAGAGGAGGCTTAAAGCCTTGGATGTAAGACAGACCAAGGGAGGCAGATTGATCTGGGCAGGTAGGGGAATCCTAAATTCAAGTCAGCTCTCCCCAGGGCTACTGCAATAGCCTCCTAACTGATCTTTTTCTTTTAAGGTATGTCCCACTTGTGCCTGAATATTTAAGTGAACCAGTAACGTCTAGGGTGCTGATTTAAGTGCATAATCTTGGGCAGTGTGGCTCTGGGATCCCCCTTTATTAACAAGCTTCCCTGGTGATTCTTAAGCACACTAAAGTCTGAGAACCACAAACCATTCTAAAATAAAAACAAAATAAGTTTCCCCCGCTCCTTGGTTCAGTGGCAACCTTGTGCCCTATAGCATAAACTCCAAAATTCTTGTAAGACCTACAAAGCCCTTTGAGAACTAATCCAAGCTGACCATTCTAGCTCTTTCTCATCGTTTCTCCCAGAAGCCTCTGCTATAGTCATCTTCAAGTACTTGAGGGTCCCGAATGTACCTGTTCTCTCAACTCTAAGCTTTTGCCCTTTGTAGGTACTCAAAGATTCACTGAATGAATGAGTAACTGAAACTATCACCATGTGTAAGTCCTGTGCTAGGCATTGGGCAAAGAAGGGTAGAGAGAGTCCCTGACTCAACTTATAATTCAGTGGGGGTGGAGGTAGGGGGTTAAGTAGGAAACACACAAGAAGTGAAAGGGGAAGAGACCAACTGCCGTGTGTCAGGCACCAAGCGGGGCTTTACTAATATTAGCTCATTTTCTCCTTACATCAACCCTTCAAAGTGAGTGTAGTATTTATTTGCAACTGAGGCTCAAAGGAGTTAAGTAACTTGCCCAATATCACACAGCTGGCAAGTAGTGTTGATTGAGCTCCTACTGCATGCTAGGGGATGAACATGCTGAGTGCTGTCCAGGTACTGTAAAAAAAGAAGAAGAGATGCTATCCTTACTCTCCTGAACCCAGGGCTTCTGTTGCCATCACACACCTTCCCAGCCTTGTAGGACTGCAGAGCCATCAGAGGACTATCAAATATGTCGTGTTAGACTTACCCTCATTGATATGTGAAGGGCTTCCAATAATCAAATGGTTGTTTAGTCGTTAGCTCCTGGGTGACAGGTGTGTCCTACAATATCCCCTCTCTCCAAAATTATGCTAAATTACAGAGTCACCTTCAGGTAAAGGAGGAGTTCGTATAAGAAGTAGTCAAACATGTTCAAATGTGTGAGCAATATATATTCCAATGGCAAACTGGAATTCTGCGAGCTGAGCCTAGGGAATCGTATACTGAGAGTCTCTCTCCACTTTCCAGGAAAAAACTGTGAAAAGACAGAAATTTCCCCGGGCCGGCCCCGTGGCCAAGTCAAGTTCACGTGCTCTCTGCTTCCATGGCCCAGGGTTTCACCAGTTCGGATCCTGGACATGGACCTAGCACCGCTCATCAAGCAATGCTGAGGTGGCATCTCAAATAGCAGAACTAGAAGGACCTACAACTAGAATATACAACTATGTGCTGGGGGGCTTTGGGAAGAAGTATAAAAAACAAATTGGCAACAGATGTTAGCTCAGGGCCAATCTACCAAAAAAAAAAAGATAGGAATTTCCCAGCATTAAGTTTCTCCCTCCATCATTTTTATAGGGGTGGGAAAGGCGGTGGCTGTGCACTGTTAGTGTTTTGGGAAAAAAAGTACAAAGAGTAGTAAATATGGAAAAGAACAGTGGCAGATGTTAATTGAGTGCTTATTATGTGGGGATTCTGTGCTAAGCCCTTAATCCTCATAAAGCCTCTATTATTATCATCCCCATTTTACAGTTGAAGAAAGTAAGACATAGAGAGTTTGGGCAACTTGGTTACCCAGCTTGAAGTGGCAGAGTCAGTATCATATTGAACTCGGACTTTCTGACTCAGATCCCAGTGCTTAATTACTGTAGGACTGCACACAGGTTCCGATGGAAGGCTGCAGAGAGAAAACACATGGAAAAATAAATGCTAGAATAATGCCAGGAGAACCAGTCAAGTTGTTTTGACCTAAATTTTTGTTTGGTTGTCTCTCTTAGCAGAATGAAAGTTCCATGAAAGCAGAGACCTGTCTGTCTTGTTTACAGTTTTATTCTAAGCACCTAGCTCAGTTCCTGGATCCTAGCAGGCAGGTGAAGGAATGAATTAGGGAAGTGTGCAGTGAGGAGTTTTCACCATTAGGAGTTAACTAGGAACTTGGTCGGAAAGGCCTAATTCCTCTAGAAATCTAATTAAATATCAATAATTGGTGTTAGAAGTAAAGGATGAGGGCCCGGCCCTGTGGCTGAGTAGTTAAGTTCGCGGCGCGCACTCCGCTTCCGCGGCCCAGGGTTTCACTGTTTCGGATCCTGGGTGTGGACATGGCACTGCTCATCAAGCCATGCTGAGGCAGCATCCCACATGCCACAACTAGAAGGACCCACAACTAAAATATACAACTATGTACCAGGGGCTTTGGGGATAAAAAGGAAAAATAAAATCTTAAAAAAAAAAAAAAGTAGAGGGTAAGAATAGGGTGAACCGGGCTGGCCCGGTGGCACAGCGGTTAAGTTCGCACCTTCTGCTTTGGCGGCCCGGGGTTTGCCGGTTCAGATCCTGGGTGCAGACATGGCACCGTTCATCAAGCCATGCTGTGGCAGGCGTCCCACATATAAAGTAGAGGAAGATGGGCATGGATGTTAGCTCAGGGCCGATCTTCCTCAAAAAAAAAAAAAAAAGAATAGGGTGAACCACCCAGCGTCAGGTGCCAAAGAAAAAAACACCATTCCTAAAAGGGGCAAGAAAACAAGAATCTAAGAAACTCTGTTTTGAGCTTTAAATCCTTGCCAAAAACCCTGAGAAACACTTAACTGAATTTATAACACAGACAACTAAAATGTGTGTACTTTATACCATCAAACTTTTTCACGTTCTAACAAAGGTTAGTAGAGTACTTGAGCTATCTATGTGAATACTGCAGGAAATCTGCAGGCAGAATGGTGATGTTGTAGAAACCTTCCAGCTCTCTATCCTTGGGTCATGGCAAAGAAGATGGGACCCAAGATGGGACCCAGCAATCAAAGCCAAGAACCTGGATATTGTACTTTAAATGTGTCAGCTGTGGCACAAAATGTAGGAAAATGTTGTCCCATTTCACAATACCATACATTCACTGAGTATTAATAACATATTGCACAAACAGTACTTAGAAAATGGTCTGTAAGCTTTCTGAGGGCAGGTATCATCGCTTTTCATCTTCATAGTTGCAGCAAACAAAGTTCTGAGAGCCAGTGATCAATAAATGTTCACTGACTTATTGATGCAACAGTAACACAGTACTTGTCATGAAAATACCCAAA